ATGAGAGACGTAATAAGGACAATTCTGTGACAGGGAATTTACATAAATATATGAGTGCACTGTCATGGTGTTTGGGAGGAGCTGCAGGTTTCAATGGCAGTCAGAAAAATCAGTTCTGTCACTGCGAAGAAAAATGAAAGTTTTAAATTTAATCTCCTAAAGTTCTTTCTTTTGACATTTAATTATCTCAGAGTTCATCTCACATCTAGTCGCTCTGCTGTACATCACTTTAGCGATGTAAGGTAAATGTCTGACAGAAATAATTCTTGCACAAGTGTAGTGTAATTTATTGAAACAAAATTGACTGCAATAATCGTGTCGTTACACTGAAATAGGGACATTTAGAGTCAAAGCTGGACCTTTTCTCACTCTCCCTGGCAGCAGATAATGAAAAACATCTAAATTTACCTCATTTCTTCCTCTATCTGACTCACAGAGGTGTTGAGAGCTGAGAGGTTTCCTTCTCACCTCTCCTCTCCTCTTGATTAGTATTCATCCAAGTTTATCTGCCGTGAACTGTGTGCTCTATTCCATTTACTTGCGCTGACACTGAAGGATCCCTGCTTTCGTAAACACAGCGCTGCACTGTAATCAGAGGGCGAGATCATATTAAACTTCATTTGCTGAATCGGTGTGTTTCCCTTATCCATTAACCCCTCTCTCTTTGCATGGTAATTGAAAGTGCAGATGTTACGAGGTAATTGGCTCATCACTCAGGCCCCTCTACATAAATACTGCTTTTCTACAATGACTTTTGATTTACACGCTCCGCTCTCAATTCAGACACACCCTCTCCTCAGATACTGTCAGATCTCTGCGGAATTTTCTTTTTCAGCAGTGCATGCTGGGTAGGCTGATGTAACAGGGGCCACTTTCCCAGCACATGAAAGGCATGTAAGGGGAGGTTACAAGGGTTCAAAGTGATTCTTAACGTGCCTCAGGTGGATATAAAGAGAAAAGAGCTTGAGGAAACTGATGGTGAGCGCTTAACTGTGTCGTTATAAACGTCTATATTTATACCAGCAACAGTTTTATTCTTCAGAGTCACGGGTCACTGCTCCGGCCTGGTAATGATTTCAAAGTCCTTTCTTTGTCCTTGCTCCTTTTCATCGATGCAAACAGTCCTTTTAAAGAAAATAAGATATTTTCAACAGCCTGTTTCAGCTCCTTTGTTTGACAAGGGGAGGGTTAATTAATTCAGAGAACAACCATTGCAGCTGCAGCTCGGTGGTTCTTTCATGCGCCTAGAAAATCTGAGCCTAGATGTTCACTCTGTAACATCTAGGCAACTTTCACTTCGCCGGCAGCCTTTCTTTCCTCTCTCTCTCTCTCTCTCTCTCTCTCTCTCTCTCTCTCTCTCTCTCTCTCGTCAGAGACATAAGCTGACCAAAAAGGGGACGAAGTCTTTGGCTTTGAAAGTAAACCTTCTACCTGCAGTTTTTCTAATGACCAGCAGGGGCCTGCTTTATTTGAGGATGCTTGATCAAAGATCAACGATCTTTTCGGCTTCAAATCTGTATATTGGCAGGAGGCAGAACCAAGTTGTCTGCAGTATGTTCAGTTTATGATCGTATCGTATCGTAAAATACACTGTACTGTAGGAAATGATCACACTCCTTATTTTATTGATTAACTTTGGTTAAAATGATCTCACCACTTAATGACCTCAGTTATAAGCTAAAAGTCCTCTATATGATGTTTGTGTTTTGAAATATGGTCTCATCTGAGTTAAATAGACCAAAGAGATGGGGTGCTTGCTTCAGGGCTTAGATGAGATCATCAAGTCATTAAAATACGGTCACTTCTGGCTGCAAATGTTCATTACTGTCGTTAGAAAACTGATGAAAGCTGTCCGCTCTGCATTGGCACATACGTACTATATAACCACTTAAGTCCTCTTTTGCATATACTGTAATGGTTCTTGTTTTCTGTGCATTGCTGCAGTCTGGCTTTCATGCAAGTTTTTCGAGAGGTCAAGCTGCCCTGGATCCCCTGTGGGTAATACGCTTTACTGTTAAAGTACCTAAAACAACCACACTTAGAAAAAATGAACAATCCTTTTATGGTGGGTGATAAAAAATGAAAGGCACTTAGCTTTCTTTTCATGTTTGCGCTATTAAACGTCTTTGAAGCCAATAAATGTGCAGATCAAACTCAGACTTTAATGTTAAATGGAGACTTTTAGTGTTTTTTTTTTTAAACGTGTAACCGCCCTTCGCTTTAAACTGATGGTGCACTTTATTCTATCTGACAAGTGTTTGATTCTCAACAGCTGGCCAGCCAAATCACTTGTGACAATGTTCCAATGAAGACAAATGACATGTTATCAGTGTGTGCGTAGGGAAGAGCCGGGGTCCATTTCTGTCCCCGCCTATCAGGTAGTCAGATCGATCTGTCTATCCTCAGAAGCAAGAAATAAATTGATGTGTAATGGGACTGCTCATGTTGTGTTATCTGGACTGAAGAAAGAGCGTGATGAGGAGGAGGAGATGCAGAGAAACAGGGAGATCAGTTCCTGACAAACGGCAAGGAAAGAGAGGTTTCTGCCGCAGTGAAGGAATTGACTCACATATCTATGACACACACACACACACGCGCACAGGAAACACTTCAGCCTGCTGGAGGTTCAACTGCAGTCCTGCCTCCCCCTGTGGAATAATCACGTTGTGTGACTCTGTGTGTGTGTGTGTGTGTGTGTGTGTGTGATGGAGAGTGCTGTTTATACGCTCAGCAAAGGAAAATGGGTCAATAATACCGTGTTTCCAGACCACATTTGCTTTAAATGACATGTTTTAAGCATCAGTTTACTCTAACTTTTGGCTATCTTAAAGGAATAGTTCGATTTTTTTGAAGTGTGGTTGTATAAAGTATTAGTCTAGAGTGTTTTAGCCTCAGGGGATCTTGGTCAGCTCAGCCTCTTTGTAGAGGGAAACAGCCGGAGCTTCACACTACCGTCAGAGAAATCATTCGTCTTCGCTCCACCCTCAGATGTGACAGATAATTCTTTTGCCTGCAGCAAATAATCAGCAAATCCAGTCTCTGATGTGGGAGTCACTGCGATATTGTGAATTTGATATTTTTGCACTGCAGTTTGATATTATGTTAAGATTAAGGTGTGTATTCCAGTTCAGCCTTCACCTTCAATGACTAACACACTGTAATCTGAAAAGGTATAATGTGAAGCAGGGTTACTAAAGCAGTGGTTGATTTGGACTGGGCTGTGAAAACCTGGTCAGAACTAAGAGGGTGGAGGGTTCATTGTGTTTCATTGGTTGTTTTCCAACCTGTTGATGCATATTCATAAGGCATTAAAGCACAAGTCCAAATATGATAACACAAACATCTTTCTGATTAGGCTGGTTTCATGTGGGTCAAAGGTTAGAGGTCACTTTCAGTTCCTCGGCTGGTGAGGAGACAACATGTAGCAGCAGATGACATTAACAAACTTATATATATTTATTAAAGGATATCAGAGCAGCGCTACAACCACCTTAGCTCTAGGGAAACAGGTTCATGGAGCGCTCACAGATGGTGAGTTAAGTTTTTCTGCAGTAGTTTGTGATGCACTGTGCTTTTACTTTTTACACCTTAATATGATTTTAGTAGAGGATTTCCATAGATAGAGACTCAGGGAACTGAAGTTTTTTGCAGTTTACCTGAGGATGCCACATGGTAATGGTAATAACTCACTTGTCTATCATCTATCCCACTGTAAGACAGTCACTCTTAAGTCCATGTAGTCAAAAAGGGTGTTGATCAAGGGTTGTGTTCTGATGCAGTAAAAAGTTCTCCACTTTTCTCCAGTCCATTTGAGGATATGCTTACTTTAAACTTTTATGGTGTGTGAATTGACTTCTAAAAATTGAAGAAAGCGGGTAAAACAGCAGAGATCAGTGAGGTAGGGACAAAGAAGAAGACATAAGATTAGAGTTTGTGAACGCAAAGTGCAGTTTGGACATTTCTCACAACAGTGCTTTGGTTGGTGTTTGTTAAAGTTAGTTAAACACGTGGTGGAGCCGTCAACCCCTGCAGAACTTGATAGCCTAGCTTCATTTCCTGTATCACAGCTAGGGTGACCATGCGTCCTCTTATACCTGAACATGTCCTCTTTTTTGGGGGCTGTCCGGCCCGTTCACCTTTGTCCAGGGGAAGTTTATAAAATCCTTCAAATGTCCTGGTTTTGTATGGAGGTCTTGAGTTTGTGTTGCGTGGACTTACTGAGTTAGAAGCGCGTAAAAAACACTAAATTTACTTCGCACGACTCCATGACTCCGCCCCCGTGTAGTCGTGTCCTCTTTCTGGGGATACAGAATATGGTGACCCTAAATACAGCAGCTTTTTCAACAGAGGGGCAGAGATGACTTGGAGCCCCTGTTGCTAATCCACATGCACACGTACCTCATACAACCCTGCTTTTAAAAACAGATGAACTATCCCTTTAGCTTTTAGGCATTTTTTATTTCTGTTTTATGACTTTTGTTGATGCACTTTTCATAACTTTCTTCTTCTTCTTCTTCATGATGATTCTTTTAATTTTTCAGCGCTTGTTTCCATGTGCATTCATCATCGTGTTGTAAAGTATGTTGAGCTGCATTTTTTATGTTCAGGGTGCTTCAAAATGAAGATTTTTATGGCTATCATTATAGAAATGAGAAGAAAAAGTTTGTTTTTTTCACCCAGAGCTGAAGTCAGGGGACTGAGTTTGTCTTTAACAGCTAAACTGGAGTCATTCCAGCAAAGATGAACCTGTTCTTTTCAACATCTTGTGAGAAACAGAGGCCGTTTCTGTTATTTTGTTTTAGTAACACGCACATATCCCAGAAATCTCTAATGATCCAAAGGGGCCTATCATAAGAAGAGTCATTTGAAGTTCGTGATGATTCCCTCGCCAACAATCTCAGACTCTTTAATGAGCCTGTTAATGGTAGAAATCTGCTTCTTGCTGCACAGAAAATGACCGCTGAGCCCAGCCTTTGTTGCATGTTTCCTTCACGCAGTCTCCTCTGCAGCGAGATAATGTATGTTGTTTTTCTGCATAATTTTCTGGGATCAGACTCATTTCGATAATGAATGCAATTACAGGTCCTCCTTTATGACTTACATCCTGATCAAACTATTACAGGAGAAGCACGCTGTTTCCAAGGTCCTTCCAGTGGGCTCAGTGTGTCTTCACAGAGAAATAGAGGGATCAGTGAAGCTTTTTTTTTTTCAGAGAAACTCACTAAGAAACACTCGACACCAGCTGTTTGAACAGGAGCATCAAATATCTTTCCACAAAAGGGAAAAAAAGAGCTTTTTTTCTCTCTTTTTGTGCAGAAATAAGCTTTTGAGACACAGCCGGTCTGTGAATGAGACTGAAGATGAAGTTTGCAGTCAAAGAGAGTTTGAGACCATTTCTAGTGAATGCAATAAATCATAAAAAACAGACACGCATGAATGAACTCATTCACATTTCCAGCATTTCAATTAACAGTTTGAGGGGCGAAAGTAAAGAGTATTGACTCGTGGCTATTACTTGTATTGTGATACAGGGTTTTAGAAAAGTCTAGTTCGATTAGATAAAAAAGCAGATATTTTTGAGACTGTTTGAGAAATATAATTTCCAAACTGTTATTCCTGTCCTATTGTTGTAAAAGTTTCATCTCTGGATGCAAGGGCTTTAAATTTTGCTCAAATATTTAACTACACTCAGAGATTTATTTGAATTTGAACTTATTTGAATCAGACAGCAACATCCAGTGATGAAAATGAAACCAATGTGCAAAAAGCTGCAGTTCCTCAACTGTCCACTTGGGGCTGGTTTGAAACATCAAGGAATCCCTATTAGAGCTTATTAACAAAATGCCCTTTTTTCTATAGCAGAATTGTACATGTTTGCAACTTGATACAGAACTGGTTTGGGTTTCTTAACCTCATTAATTCACTTATGAACTCTGTATGTGTTTTTTTTTTTATATGACTTATCTGTTTTGATTACATTGAGGCTAAAAACTGTGATATTACAAAATAAGGCTTTGCGGGTTTGAATGCCATGCTGGTGCAGTGCAGTGGTGCCTGTTTTTAGATCATCTTAAAGCTGCAAAATCCCTCTTTGGATACCATAGGCGGCATCACTGAGGCTACACCTATGTTTTGTCTGTTATCACTATCCCATTATTGTGACAGCACTATCTTAGGGATGCCTGGGTGAACATTATCTTCACGTCTGGGCGGTTTTCAATTTTCTGAGCTTGAAATTGACTGACACCTTCCACAGTATCTGGACAGACATTTTTCCATCACTAGTGATGGTTCTGCTGAGAACCCCAGAGATTTTCTCTGTGATAGCTCCTTTTGTGTACATATTCATAGGGAAGTCTATCCTGTTGAAGGTCTTTGTATACAGTTGCTTCTACACATACAAGTAACTGACTCATCTGTATTTACTAAGCTCAATGTAAGCAGAATTCTCGATGTGGACCTCTTGTTTCTAGATTTCTCGTTACTGTAAATTGGTGATACCTATTTGAGAAATTGATTACACTTAATCTTTCTTAGTAGACAAGCCCCTTAAATAGAGCGCAAATTTCCTTCTGTCAATATCATGTTGTTTAATTTTGATCAGGTCCAAGCTCTTGAACTCTCAGCTTCTCCTGCAAAGATCTCCTGTCAAATGGGATTGTTTTTAATGACTTATCTGGGTTTTCTCTCTGTGTTTTTTTGACGACTTTTCTGCGAATCAAACTTGATCTCGTCCTCTAGATTTATTGCTACGCTGCTTGCCTCTCTCTTTAATCCTGCACACCCTTTTGCTGCCACCTGCTGGCTGGTAGTGCATAATGGATTATGGGCAGAATGAATTGCACTCCTATCTCTTAGCTTCTGTTTCTTGTGTTGAAGACATGCAAATGTGTCTAACGAGTACCAGTACCCTCTATTGACCAACCACCAGTAGCGTCATCTGTTTTGTGTAGTCATTTTTCATTGACTGGTTTGCTAGTATCGTTATTGTCATTTTAAAAGAGTTACTCTGTGTAATTAATTTGAATCAGGATCTAGCAGCCTGTTGGCTCAGAGCGTAGAGTCCATAAATAAGAGGAAAACCTGGACTAGGTGTTTGTAAAGGACACTAAATCAATGACAGCTCCCGTGCCTTGTGTCTAATTTGCATGACTACCTTTTTCCTCTTTATAACAATGAAGAAAACCAAAGGGACATCAGTAAATATCTGTGTTTAATGGAACCCCTTCGTCTTTACATAAATATAAAAAGTACAATCATTGGTATAAATGTGCAACTTGCAAACAGAATAAATTTGCATACATTAACTGGATGTAACACCACAATGCAAGCAACATGAGACAAATACAGAGGTGTAGATTTTGCTGAAAGGTCAACATAACTATAAGGATCACAGACGCTTTTAGTATCTTAAATATTGAAATCTGTGAGCGTAAGGCGCTGCACAAGCCGATTTGGAGACAATGATCCGGATTGTGGCCTACGCCGTGACTCCTATTATAGATCAGAGGCAGCCAAGCAGAGCTGTAATAAATCACTCTGTTACAGAGTCACTCGGCTGTTACCTGCTAATGCTAACAGCCCTGTTCAGTGTGCTCCGGTCAGATTGATTTCAGCGCTTTCCTGAATGAAGCAGCTTTAACAGTCTCGAATTACAACAGAGTTTGCTCACTCTTACAGGAAAGAGACAGTGTTATGAATCATAGTGTGATTACAGAGGGAAAAAAAGCTTTGCTGAATAAATAATTATGCCATTAGCTGCAGCAACAGCCTTTAAGATCTACACCAGCATCTCCATTCTCTGCTTATTTGGAGCAAACTGTTTCATTATGAGGCTTGTAATGGCTGCAGAGCATGGCGTTTTAATGGTGCTAATTTTTGCAGTCAAATTGTTGCCTACACTTAAGAGCTCTCTGATTTTTATATGTGAATAGAGTCAAATGTGTTTTTATTCGATTAAACACCAGCAGTGTTGAATGATTTACGTGTAAATTGATGCCTGCGACGCTTCTGCTGTGATCCAGATCTGCAAAGTTCAACCGTTAAGAGTTGAGTAATAGCTTTGCATCATTTGAAAATCAGTCTGTTTTTATAAGAACATGAGAGGCAATAATTGCACAAAAAAAGAAAAGTCAGTGATATCACATTAAAGAGCAATTTCTGCCGATAACAGATACAAACATACAGTAAATCCTACAACCACCTGTCTCCTCTTACAGAAGATACAGAGGACAGCGGGGCAGTTTAAAACCATTGCAATCAATGGAGATCAATTTTGCAAAATGCAAAAGGATTGTATAGTACAACACACAAGCTCTACACACTATAATCTTTTCAACAAGGAACCTTTTTGTAATATGCAAGGACTAAAGTAAGGCATTGATTCAAGCCAGGCATGCATTTTAGGTGAGCAAACATTATTCTAAACACTATCGTAAATGTCTTAAAAGATTTTCTCAGGCTTAAGGAAAATACATCTTAATGAATATTATCTTAAATTGAATATCTTCTGGGGGAGGGGGGACCTCTGTGAGTATCATTTCAGAGTCCTTTTATTCTCGTGTTTAGTCCTTTACACACTGGCGTGGACGTACAAATGCATACATACTTTACACACATGCTCCTTTGCAAACTGTTGCAGATACAATGCAGTCAGCTAGACCCCAGAAGTGTTTGACGATCAGGGAATACTCTGTAGCTGTAACCTTAACTCTCAAGGGTGAAATATAAGTCCCCGTCATCATCGAAGCGCGATCAAAACGTCCCTCCTGACATATTACAGCAGGGGGAACGCCAGTAAATTCAGTCTACAGTATTTCATTTGCTACAGCATGCTCAAACGTCTCCTGGGTTTGACACTTTTCCAAGTCTTAACCGTCACCGCTAACTGTGTGCCAACACTTCTCTGACACTCCAGGCTTCACCTCACATCACCGTCAGGAGCTCAAAGCCTCTGAACAAATTGACATTTTGGGAAATACAGTAAGTTTATGCATCCACTCTCTTACAAAAAGTAGAAAGAGAAGCTCGATACCACTCCGGGGTTACCCAGCTGAGTTGTAATTTATGACCACAAGTGTTTTTTTTCTTTTTAGCTTTAATTCACTCCTATAAAGAGGGGAAAATCGCTAATTAGCTAAAAACCTATATATCTTCTCTCCAGTTTCCCCATTTTTCTTCTTTTATGTAAATTCAATAATTGAGATACAGTGTTTTGTGTGCTCAGATCTGCCCAGAGCTATATTTTATTACTTTGGGATGGAGCCAAGAAACAACTGCCAGCAGCTGGTCGGCTTAGCAGCGAACAAAGCTTAGCATAGGGGGACACGACCGAAGCTGGCTCAAAAACTCTGTAATAAAAGATGTTTGATATTATTTTAAAAATGGATTTTTTGGGGATTTTTTTAAACTAGGGGAGTCTTCTGCCAGGATTTGTCTTGGCAGGTATCTTTCCCTGTGGTTTTGTATGACACTAATTTAGCTTAGAGCTGTTGTTTTAGCAGAGGTAAAGGTTCATCAATGTGACAATGAAGACCTGCTTTGCTTTTAAAAGCTGTGTTACCTCTCTGTTACTCCCAAAATATGCTTGACTCAGCAAGAATAGTGAAAGTTCCCAGCACTGGTTTATTTTGTAGCACATTTCAGCACCTTGGACAGAGTCTGGGTGTCCTCTTAAGAAGGAATATGGTGATAAATGTGTCGCCATCTTGCACAACTATTATTACAGCAGTAGCAACTCATTATTCTTCCTGAAAACCGTTTGGATTTTACATATAATTGTTTAAAACATATATAGTTTGCCATCCTTCCTGGAGGCTCATTACAAATTGTAAAGCTCTTACCCATCTTTGTGAGTTGTACCGACAAGCCGGTTTCCCATCTCTGTCGACCCATAGGCTAATACGCTGGCACACCTTCATTTTGAGGCAATTCTTGGACTGCGTCCACAAGATCTATGTGTTTGTTTCACCCAGAAAAGTGCTGGACTGTATCCATTGTGCCCCAAGGACTTTTTATTCTCTCCGTCCCCGCAGCTTGAATAGACTTTGGGAAAAAGGCTTTTGGGTTTTCTCCACCCTCAGCCTCGGATTTATTGCAGATTGGCTGGAAGCTCAAAGAGCCAGAACCATTAGATGTTTTCGAATATACATTAAAAGTTTGTTGTTGCTTCTAGTTTACCTGATTGTACAATTGATTTTTAAAGAGTTTCTGTTTTTATAGCAAATTTTAGTGCTTGGGATTCCCTGCCTGTCTTTGTCTGAACTTTGCGTTTTTGGTGCTGTCTTGGTCTTAACAAAGTACCATCTGAAAGCACCAGAAGAGGAACAAAATTACAGGTGATTACTATTATCTTAATTAATCCTGTTCCTAACAAGATCCAAGTCCAATAAAACATCCTTTCATATGGGGAATTACTTTAAAAAAGCTGGTGAAATAACAGGAACTCCACTTGTGCTTCCTGATGTTCCTAAATCATTGTTAGAAGTTTTGTAGAAATTAGTTTTAAAAGCAGAAATTTTGACACATTTAACAACATTAAGAAACGCCTCTTTAGTAACGGTAGCTTGTTAACTTCTAGTGATTCGTTGGATTTATCTGTAATAGGTTTTTGGTTTGGTTAATCCTTAATACGGGATGTGCACAACCCTCAGATATGTAGATGTTGCTGTGGTTTCTGGGGCATTTTTGCTTTTACTAGGACATGGACTACAGCTGTTGTATCTGCATATGTCTGCCTGCTTGGGCTGCTTGTCTATCAGCGCCCCTGCAGCCTGGAAGTTTGTAATGTTAGATGCTACACTTGAATGATGGGGTTAAGAAGTCACAGGTAGTGTATTCTACTTTATCGCCAAGTTTACTCTTTAAGGAAACAAGCAACATGCTTTCTGGTAAAAGACTCTCTGACTTAGAACATATTTAAAAATACTGACTCAGATAAAATAAAAATCTTTCAAGAGTTCAAAAGTGACAGCTGGCTTTCAGAGAAATTACTTTATCTCCTTTGTAAAATTCATAGAAAAGCCTCTGAGTCCAAACTTCATTTCTTCATTTAACTTCTTCCTTGTCCCCGTCTTGATGCTAAGCAAAGCCGACCAGCCTCAGATACACATTTACTTTGCGGACATTGTGGTGGACATAAAGTGGTATTAATCTTCTCATGTTATTCTCTGCAAGAAGGTGAATCTGCATTTTCCAAAACATCAACTTTCACATCGATAAAACCATTGTCCCTTTTGTAAATATCCAGCTTCCATGCTTTAAGGACTATTTCAATTCTGAATGCTGCATTTCCAGTAAGAGAAATATGACAGTGAGACTTCCTCAATCATTCACATGTAGGTATTTGAAAGCTATATGTAGAAAAATAGACTTGAAAGAGTCCTCTGTTTTATATACAGCTATCTTGTATGGCTTTACCATAATGGCATGCAGGAAAAACTAAGACAAGCCTGAAGATTTAACTACCTGAGTCATTTTCTCTATTCCTCTTGGTGAGATATTGGAGTACAGGAAATTATTCAGATCTATGCACAAACAGGATGGAAACAACAGAGATCAAATTCACACCTTTTTGTAAAAACAGTTTTTTTAAAGACATCCCGATGCTTTATATATACACATTTATGGCATGTCTCACCGTATTCACAGTGTAAAGGTGATGAGCGTGAGGAGAGAGCCGAGATCTGCAAGAGAAAAGGAAGCAGAGGGATTTTTGGCAGGGGTGTGCCCGAGGGGTGGAGTGGGGTGGCATGGGCCCCATTTTGACCTAAAACGCTACCAAGTTATCCCAAACTCAAACTGATTTCATTTTCGGCCAGAGGTGGAAGTTTAGTCCAAACTTTAGACTGTATAAAAGATGGACGACATGACAGATCCCTCTTCTGGCTGGCTGTAGTAAAGATTTTAAAGCCTGACTCCTCCATATGAGCAGATGGGACATGACTCAAACTAGAAATTTAAGATACTCATTAATTAAAGTTTTCCCAGTATTGTCATTCAATTTTCTAGTGGCAAATATTTTGAAGATTAATTCAATTGGTTTCTGCCTTAATGCCGGATGTAAACACACAGATGATTGACGGTATCTTATTGCCCAGTTTGGCAGAGCTTGATCTGGAAAGTGGAGATAAAGGTGTGTAGAGGCTATCAGGTAAAACTAGCTAATAACAGCTAGTCAAAGTAGCAGATTTCACTAGCTCTGCTAATGTTAGCCACACTCTGCAAACCCATTCAACATTTGTTTAGCCAGATGACAAAATTTTGCTAATTTTTGGCAGTTTGTTTTCCGCAACTGGGAATTGGAGCATCTCTAATTTTGGCATCAGTTTTGTCATTTGAAGAGGGTAGAGTACGTCATCCATCTTTAAGTACAGTTAATGTTTAAATCAACTTATCAGCTGCATTGATGGCACTTTAATGAAGCACTTTTAATATAGTCGATATATCATTTATTGAGTATCTAAGGGGTTAGATATGGAAGCTTTGTATCGTGCCATGCAAGAATCTACACTGTGCACAGTAAATTTAATGATGTGCTCATACCCTGTGTAGGCCAGTGCCCGTTGGGTTATCCCTGTCCAAACAGTCTTGTTATTCCCCCAGGTTTTTGGTGCAGTGTGTTTAGAGTGAATGCAGATGATGACAGTGAAGAAGAATAATAAGAAGAAGTGAGCAGCCTGGGAGGAAATTGGTTTTTAAAGATGGGGGCCAGGGGAAGTTGAATCCTCAGCTCAGAGGGGCGATTGATTTTCAATAAGACGTAAGTTTGGATATGAAAGAAGTGGATCAGCATCGAGAGCCCATCCTTCCTGCTGTCACCAGGCGCTGTTTATAGTTCACGTCCTCCTTCACTGCCTTACAGACAGTTTAACTAACAACGTCTCCTCCTCCGTCTGCTGCTTACAAAACATCAAACACCATGACGCTGCTTTAAATCACTGCTGGCCTGGATGAGATAGTTGCCTGCTTCGGGGGCATTGATCGTGCAGCCTGACAAAAAAAGGATCCTCTGCAAACTCTTCCTATTTATTAAACCTTGGCTACACTTTTGTACTTGATAAAAGGGAAAAAATCAACCTCTGCAGGCTTTGGGCTCATGCTATCTTCAAAGATGTGTGCCCAGATGGAGAGAGAGAGAAATCGCCACAAAGGATAAATCGATTCAAGAGGGAGAATCCTAGAGGGTTTTGTTTCTACTCTAGCATCTGAAATTGACCTGGTTACTTCCAATCTGCATCAATGCAATGAGCCCACAGGATAAATTCATCTATATTTTACCTTCTTCTCCTTCGCCTGTCTCCAGAGATGCCTCATATTTGACTTAATAAAACATGAACTTCTTTGTTATTTATTCTGCTTTGCACATATATAAGTCTACATTCTGCTTTCAAGAGGAGTAACAGAAACATTGCGAGCCTCTATCATCATTTTTCCTGGCAGACAGCTGTAAGTTTCAAAATGAAGAGAGAGCCGGGAGGTGCCTTCTTTCACCCTTCCAGCCAAAGTCTCTGGCCGTTGAAGCATTTTTTGAGCTGATAAGAAGGCAAGTCCCCCTCTCACATGAAATGGATTTTCATTCTTCAACTCAAGCTCCAGCTCTAGGAAATTACTCTTTGTGGCCTGTTAGTGTGGCAGACTCCCTACAACCTTGTCAAAATCAGCGACATCACAGCCACTCTGAGCTTAACTCCTCTTTTCACGCCCGCCTGCAGATATGAAATCCATCACCTGAGGGTAAAACTTGAGCCATGTCAAGAAAAAACTGGGGTTACACAATCAATGGAAGGTCTAGAAATGGTGCAAAAAAATGCATGAGAAGTATAATGCATAGATCTGTATGTGCTATATCATTTAGAGATTACACTTCATGTCAGCATTCAGTATGTACATTCAAATGAGACCCAGCAACAACTGCGCTGTATGCTTGCCGTAGATCCTTCACAGCACAACACTCCAGCCATATATATATGCAGGATATATTGAGTGTGTGTTATTGATTATTTCCTCAGCAGACTAACACTGGCATTTCAGAGACTCTCAGTGATTTGTTCGGTGTTTTGTTTGAGGTTAATGAAATGGTTGATTGGTGGTCCCAGCGCTTCCAGGTAGGGCTGCCCCAGGCTAAAGGTTTCCGACTTGTGGTTCTTGGTTTGGACCGATAGGTAACTAGTTGTTGCTTGTGTTGTTTGTGAATCAAACTATCTCAAGATCTGCTTAAGTAACGTGATTTTACCAGCGTCATGCTGCGTCTTTACTGCTGCTCTACCTGCCTCTGGCTTTAGCATACCTCGTACTCATGTGGAAGTGCAGAGCCATACTGCCTGATATAACTTATTACATGCAAATAACATTTCCCTTTGACTTAAGTGGTCGTGGCTGAACTTAAGTGAATCTTACAACTACATATTGACCCGCTAACGCCAATGCTAGGAGCCAAGGTAGCTGCTTAACTGTCTCCAGACACCAAGTGTGAGTAAAATCATCTGTGCGAATGAATTATCTGTTAAGTCAATGCAAAGACTCAATTAGACGCTCATACTACTCTGCCGATGCAAATGATGCGAATTGGGCGGGAACTGAAAATGTCTCAACTTGAGGAGATATTTGTGTCGAAATAACCCATCAGCACAAAAGTTGCCAGGTGATGCATGAAAACAGACGGTTGTTCACCGTATCTAAAATGAAGGAAAAACTGATCGTGTCGACGTGTGGGTGCCGAATTATATGATACCTTTTCTTGCAATTACTGAAATCGGAATAAAAAGGAGTGAGGAGGTCGGATTACCTGGTAAATTGTAAAAAACCTTTGTCTATCACTTGATCCCGCTGGTTGAATTGGCTGGGGTAACTGTTGAAATTAGCGTTGACGTACGAATGAAGCGAGTAATCACTATCCATTCAAATTTGCGTCTAGATTTGCGCGAATTAAGGGAGTAGGTGATTTAACTCAGGCTTGGTGTGAGCGCCCCATAAGAATGTCCCAAAATTTTAGTTTCATGGTTCTTATTTTTGTGGAATAATTTGGGTTTGCTGTAGCCTGTCTCAAAACTGCAAACTAGCTAATCAAGTTGTGATAAATGTTTGTGAGACCTCCTGGTACCTTGGCATAAATCAGGTGCTTAATTTAGTCAGTGCGGTCCAGCTGTTTTCAAACTGCACTGTGCACTTTCTGCACACTACCGCAGCTTAACAGTCCACTTAAAAACATGCGCCTCATTGTGTCCAAATATGTCCTTGTGTTGTTGAATTCAAATATCCGATACTCCGCTTTTGGACCAGTATCTGGTTTGCTTTGTGGGGCAGCCCTACTTTCAGATCAACTCCTGGTTCTTTGTCGACACTGTGGTTCTCTCTTCATGCCATCATCAAACCATTGCTACAACCATCATTGTTTACCTGTTTTCTTAACCACAGGCTTTTAATTCCAACCAGAAGTATCCACATTTATCAAACACATCATGCATAACAAGAGTTGTTGGCAATCCATTCCAAAAGCCTCGTGTTTTTAAATCCACCTCAGGGTTTGTTACAGAGTCTGAAGATAAAGAGCTCCCACACACTCCCGTCTCACTCGGTCTACCTGGAGTTACTCGTCTCTGCCAGTCTGTTGTTCATGATGCCGAGGGCGCCAACACCCCCAGAGAATCCATTATGGCGTGAGCTGCCGCAGACTGTCCTGGGGTATCCGTTCGCGGACTCAGACAGCTGCTTCTGCATAAGGGCTAGTGACACCTTATTAGAGGCTGCCAAGTCTTTCATTGAGATCATCTCCCCTGATAGTCTACGTCCCTCAGTGTCACTGTCACAAGGTCCGTCAGAGTCAGGTGACGGGCCAGACCGACCCTGGCGACCCTTAGCGCCCGGGCGGATGGCGTTACGTCTCCCCAGGTGAACGTTGGCCTTGTTACATCGCTGGCAAAACAAGCAGCTCATTTTCTCCAGCATCCAGTTGAGCACCTGTTTGATGACAATCGAGATGACGTTGAAGAGCGAGTAGATGCAACAAACACCCATCAGCATGAAGAAGAAGTTAGCCACCCTGTAGAGGCTTTGATATTCGTAAGCCGCGCTCTGACTGCTCACAAAGTCCCCGAAGCCGATGGTGCTGAAGCTGACGAAACAGAAATAGAGTGAGTCTAAGTAGGCCCAGCCCTCCACGGGGGTGTACATAGCTGATGCACAGCAGGATATAGTGATGGCTGACAGGCCCAGGATCAGCATCACGTGGTACACCGACGGCTTCCAGCCTGGGAGGGAGTAGGCTGAGAAGTCATGGCGGATCCCTGGCGGAAGTAACCCACTGTTGATGATTCGCCGCTCTCTCACAGCCTTCATCACCACAGCCAGCAGTGTGATGATTCGCTCCAGGAAGAGGTTGAAGAAGAGGATGGTGGCAGCGCAGCCCAGAAGCCCATAAAAGATTAGGAACACCTTGCCTGCAACTGTCACAGGTGTTGTCATCCCGAAACCTGCAGAGACAGAGGAGAGATAACAGGCAGTTAGTCTGCAAACTGACAGCAAGAGCAGATTTTCACCCTCTGGTTTCCCTCCTCAGATTCCTCTTGAGAAGTTTCTGATTAGAGCCAGGGGAAGCAAAGCGTGAAAGCGAAAAACCCTCAAATCTAAATGAGGTTTTTGAAGAAGTTGAAATTAAGTTTCAAAACATTGTGAGGAATGATGTAAAGGAGTGGATCAAGTTGAGTGCACACAAAGAAGTGCAGACAAGGCTGTGTACGAAACTTTGAAACACGAGTAGTTAGTATCTCATGGTGATAGACAAAGAGGATAAAAATGAGAAAAACTGAGATAATTATGAAAGATTTCCATGCAAATACAGCTTCATGATGTAAACTAACAGAGACTGAAGGGACATAAAATAATGAGTACTTTAGAACCAGCAGTATGTTTATGCAAAACAAACAGTGTGGTGCAAGTCTCTACACACATTCAATCAAACTCTGAAAACTGGCAGGCAAATAAACAGCTTAGGCTGCGCAAAAGTACCACTCGAGAAGTCTGTGCTCGGAGGAGAGTACTATCCAAAGGTCCAGGAACTTTAACAAGGATTTACATTAGAAATGAGTCCTTCATTTACATATAAGATACTAGGGCTGGGCCGTCACTTTGCCTATGTCGGTATATTTGGTGTCCAAAAAATACATAAATGAAAGTCGGTTTTGGATGTGTGTAGGTAGGCTATGGTCTCATGTCCCTTTACGATGTTGTCCTACGTTGGTGACGTGGCTCCACCCCATCCAGAAGTTGATGCGGGAGGAGGTGAGCAGCTTGTAGAGCGGTTATCATCCATTTATCATTATCGAGGCGAACTGCTCAATATATCATGATACTGATTTAGGCCATATCGCCCAGCCCTACAAGACACAAGTGTGGGCACAGACAGGTGAACACACACAGCGAGGAGTAGAGTTCCTGGAGTGTCTCCTGCATATTATTTGAGGGCATTTAAAAGCCTGCTGACCTTGAACACCATATTCTATATACTGAAAGTGCTTGTCTCTGGAGAAATAATCAGTTATACAAACCCCAATCTCAGAATCCTTGAACCTGTAAAGTGGTTACAGGGTCAAATACAGCGTCCTGTACAATGAGCAGAAGGCAAGCATAGAGTTGCTATAAAATAGTCTCTTGTATAATGGAAAAGCTCCTGCAGCCGGACATGCAGCTTGAGATGCCCAAGATATATGCTGATATTACTGTATATTACTTCTGCATTATGGTATGTGCAGCATTAATATAGCTGTAATATATGGGATACTGATACTTGATACTGCATGGGAAAGGTGTTTGCATAAATCCCATTTGTTACTACGCTGATTGTTGTGAATGATGAGACTATGAAGAGCAAGGTCACAGGAGTAACTTTGAGGAGAGGGAAGGATGCCAAGAGTGAGCTTAGGCAAGCCTGTGAATGTTTTTTTTTTGTTTTTTTTGGCTGTCTGGTTCGACTTCCTGCTATCTTTGGATATCAGAGTCAATTAGACTGAGTGTTCAAGCCGAGGACGAGGTTACAAGAGGAGACGAGAGGATGTTTATGGATTCAGCTAAAACTCGGAGAAGCTCTCGACGATCTCGAGGAGTGTCACAGGTGCAGCTCCGACTCCGCTGCTCTGATGTTTAAATCAGTGTACGAGTTTGTAAGCACAGATAAAATCATTTCTATTGACTGTGAAGAGGGCCTCACCTTTTCATCGCAGAGGAGGGGCAAAAATGATGCAAAAAGGACCATTTACCATCATTTTGCAACGGAGGAGACTTTCTTTTTCTCTAACTTTCTCTCTCACTCACTCAGTTACAAACTTACTTATTATTTATTGAACATAAGAGACAGTGCACATCAATGAACATGAGTATGCAAATAAGTCAGATTGCAGCTATAGACTCATTTCCATTTCTGGGCCCTCGAAGGTTGATGGTACACTGAGGCATGTACATTGTGCAGAGACAAGCAAATATGAAATACCGTACATCCAGTGCTGCAAATATTAAGAAAACTCCAATACACTTTCAAATAGTTTACATTATCTACATCATGGCCATTTAAAAACTTCCCACAAACTTCTGCATACTTTACTTCAGCTTCATCTTGATGATCCAACGTCAATACCACACATTGGAGTTTGGGGCTTTGTCCACACATATAGATTTTTAAGTGGTGCCATAAAGCGAGATTTCAGAAGCAAGACTGCACCTCCGCCTTCCTCCTCTGGCACGACTATAAATCAGGCCTAGCCCTCTCCTCCTCTTTGGTTCTCACGTTCTGCAACCCTCCCACCTTCCCATTTTTCTCTATTTCTGGCCTGCTCTTTGTAGGGCCCTAAGGGGGTTGGGTGTGCCTGGAAGCAATGGCATATTACTTATAAAGCTTCCCTAAATCAACAGCAGAGTTCAGCGTCAAATTCAGAGTCACTGAGCAAAAATAATTCATTAAAAGTTGTTAATTGCTTCCTGTGAAAAAAAAGCACCATAACAACAACAAAAAAAGTGCACTGATTTTTGCAGAGTGATGAAGTAAATCGGTTGAGCTTGATTATTTTCAGTTGCTCCCTTACTGGGATATAATAACAGTGAAAAACTACTTTATCCTGTAAACATGCAATTAAACGGAGGACCGAGCAGATGTACACTGACAGCCGCCAACTTGGCACATGAGCCACGGGTGCATTAAAGTAATGTCATTCAAAGTCCACACAAACACAGACTACATGGTGTTTTCCAAAATTTCCACCTTTGAAAACCTAAAGCTTCATTTGGTTGGTGCAAAAGGTCAAAATGCACAGAAAAAAAATCAGTTTTCAATATAAAATCATCTACTAGCTTAATTTGTGCCAATCTAGACACATGAATGAGTATTTACTCGCTTCATTCAAGCGTCTACGGTAATTTCAAAGGTAATCCCTGCCAATTCAACCAGCAGGATTAAGTGATAGACAAAGGTTTTTAACAATTTACCAGGATGCAATCTGACCTCCTCACTCGCTTGCCTCCAGGCCAGCTCCTTCTTATTCTGGTTTCGGTAATTGAAAGAAAAGGTATCATATAATTCAGGACACCCACACACCGACACAATCAGTTTGTCCTCCATTTTAGATACCAGTGAACAACCGTCTGTTTTCATACTTCACCCAGCAACCTTTGTGCTGATTAGTTATTGCGGCGTGTATATTCGCTCAAGTTGAGACATTTTCAGCTCCCGCCCAATTCACGTCATGAGTAGTAGGAGCGTCTAATCGCGTCTTTGCATTGACTTAACATGTAAATCATTCACGTGAATGATTTTATTGCGCTTGGTGTGTGGAGACAGTTACAATTTGATGTCTCCATATGTAGTCCTTTGCAACCAGAAGCTCAAAATAACTCTTTTGGTCAAAGGGATAGCCCATTTGTCTAAGTATGACGTTGTTTTTAACCACTTTACTTCCTCCTTATGGTGCCACAGTGATTAAGGGATCACCAGTTCTGGTACAGGTCATCTTCTTGGACTCATTTCCATGATTATAAAATTTAAAGGAGATTGATGAAACTCCAGCCATGCCAGTCAGAGAGCTGAACAAAGATAACCTCGTGTTTTGTCTTCTGTTAGTACTTCACATAATCTTGTGGCTATCCAGCATTTCTCCGGGGATCCACTTGTGGAGTCCCAGCTGGGAATCCCTGCTTTATTCCATAATTGGTTTTCCTGTCATGCACAAAGCCAAACACTGTAAAACAATATACAGTATATGCTCTGTATGTGCTTTAAGCTTCAGGCTGCACATGCACAAGACCCTGTAACAGGCTGATGTTCGGACTCAAATCTTCTGCTCTGCTCTGCACACTCACATGGTTTTATTCTCTCTATCCCAGGGCTGATGAAAGCACACACACATGCACACTGTCTTCAACCACACACACACACACGTAGACACACTGTCATCCCCTTATCCACAGAACAGCAGATGGTATATTTGTCAACAAATAAAATCGTGCTGAAAGATCAAGCGGTTCACTTCCAGGCCAAGGTTAATTGATTTTTCCATCATGTCTACCCTCCGTTTCAGTCTTCCCTGAACATTAGAGCAAAGCTTTTCCCCTTTTTCAGCCAACCAGCCTGTAATCATACTTGTCAGGTAATAAATGACATCAATATCTGGACAACGCTTCCTTTATGATACCCAAAATGGCTTTTTTGACCTTATCTCGGCTCTGAAAACCACTCTCCTGTGGGTTTGCTGTTGACACTCTGGGTCATTTAGATCAGCGCTGATTGAAACAGATTGTTTTATAGAGACAAGAGGGAATACAGGCCTCACATATCCTCACACACACACACACACACACACGGACTCACACAGACAGGTTTTAAAAATGACTCCAGACACCGAAGTATGAGGACGGTGACAAAGTTCAGGAGCAGACATTAAAGCATCAAGAAGGTGAGGGGCAGCGATTATCTAAATTGAGCCCTCCAAGTAAAATCCTATTCCAGTGTTTCATAGCTAATTAATTAGCAGTCCAAGTCTTTTTAACCCAACTTAATAATAAGGAAAACAGATTACATCTTCAGAGCGAGGGCAGAGACAGTCTCCTGCACCGTCTCTCATTACCGAGTAAATTACCTCAGAGAGGAAAAGGCACCCGGCATCGATTCAGTGTTGCGTTTCAGAGCCATTACTCCAGACCACTGTGTCAAGACACATTAGAGGAAACAGAACAAGAATAGAAAGTAAGAGGAGAAGAAAGCCGAAACCGAAGACGCAAACACTCAGTGACTTTGTTGATGTGCACTCTCAGATTTGCACAATGATCAATAACGATTTTAAGTCCCTGCTGATGCACTAAATTTACAAAAGGAACTACTTTGGGGCACAAGAGGAAAGAAGTGATATTTATTTTTATATCATTGCTTTTCTACAGTAATTGAACCCGCTTTGATCAGCTCTGATCAGTTCCTTCTTTGATCCTGATCCCTGCGAAGACATGCCCGGGAGACGCATTAGTCATAGCTCCAGATTTTTATTTTTTTTTTACCACAGATAACAAAAGTTCATAGAAGTTGTTGCATGCTTCACAAGTTGAGTAATTCTGCGTGGTTTCCACTCACCACCTGAACTCCAGTTTTTCAAGGTCGGTATCTGACAAACTCTGACGTCAGAGGGATTATCTGAAGGTAAACGAATCACCACCGCAGGGTAGAAAGCATCAGAGTGGTCTTGAAATGTCCCCTTCTTGTGTTGCTGGTGCCAGAATAGGAGGAGTGAAGGTTTTTGCACACTGAGTTCGTTTCTTTCAGATGCATTTTCAGGACACTGGGACCAGTCGGTGTAACTTTCTGCTCATTACCAAATTTGTCAGTAGAACAAAATAATGGAGCTAGCAGTGATCTTGTAGATTTTTCACTGATTGAAAAAAAGGAAACGCTCGGTCCATCCTGTCCTGAATAACAAGACAAGAGCAGGGAGGATTTCATTTACTGATAAAAGAACTGCAGCGATACATTAATCACTTCAGGATGTTGTTATTCCACTTTGAAACACAGAACCAACACCGAGTCAAACACCCCCTCAAGAGATGAATGTTGCTGACTCTTTACTTCTCTAGTTATACCAACTTTAGTAACGGAGTTGATAGACAGTGGTCTACGTCTCCACATGCAAACCTCAACCAAAACGCCACTCTATAGCCACAAATAATGCTCAGAACAGCACCTAACTTCATCAACAGTACATATAGGGTCTCAGCCATAGTACTAGTCATCAAACATCAATCACCAAGTGCAGCAGATCTTTTCCTTGAAGTAATAATCATCATGATTTGCCTTAGCATTTCAGTCTGATTGTATTTCCATTAAGTAATAATCCTAAATTTTCTTCCTTAAGCTGTAAAACTCCGCTGCACTCAGTGATTGACTTGTCAGAGCTCCCCCACAAACGAGCGGCTGCTGGAGGAGAGTAGGTGAGTTGTGTTTGGTCTCTTGCGGTCGTTACTAAAGTTGGTATAACTAAAGAAGCAAGCAGTCGGCAGCATTCATCTCTCACAGGGGTGTCTAACTCGGTGTTATGGTGTGTTTGACCACAACTTAAATTTAATAGCCCTGTAATAGCCCTTGCAACAGCAGCTCAGGGTCTTGTGCTCATCCAAAATCATGCAGCGATGGAAAAATCAAACAAAGATTGTGTTGTTTTATGTTTGGTTTTAAAGCCATAGCTTGTCACAATGAGAGAAACAAGTAAATTCTGTTACAGAAAGAACTTTGTCAGTATATTGGTGTGAAAAATCTGCAAAAATCCAATGTAACGAATCAGTGCAAACTCTTTGTCCTTCTTTGTATGGTTGCCACAGTAATCAGCTGCAGATATAAAGCCATTGTCGGACTTAGATGCCCTCAGGTTGTCTTTACCGGACACTCTTGGTTTCCTGTCAGTTCAGTGTGATCGTCCAGCTTGTCTAACTTTGGTGGTCGGCTCAGTTCGCCAGTGTTAACTCATTTAGGTGGCTCTCTCAGTCCTGGATGGTAAAGTGGTCTCATATTATCTTCAGCTGTCGTCTAAAACAATTACAGCTTGTGAGTAATGCTCGCTGATGTGTCCAATAATACCTTGTAACCACTGTCTGTGTATTAATACAGAAAGTGCTTCAATCTCTTTCTATCATGAGATGATATTAAAGAGAAACTCTGGGTTAGGCAAAGTTTAATGACTCTCGAGTCAGTGCTTATTTCGTTTCCTGTGCTAAAGAAAGCTGCAGGAGCCTCATTTGTCAACAGAGCTGTCAATCATAACACCACAGCCCCTCCATTGTGCATCAATTAACTAATTTATGAGTGTTTCGGCAGCAGCACATCCTTCACAGTGAAATTAAGGAACAAATCATCCGTCCTTTGGCGACTGTTCAGGTTTAACCAACGTCTCTAAACAGACATCTACATACAAACACAGCTAACAACCCACTCTTTGCATTTGTCTTGAAACTCTTTTTCCATCATCCTCTTCTAAGCCGCTAGTTGGACAGTAAACAACAGCAGAGCACAGAAAAGGGAGTCTTGGATTGAAGTCCTTTGTTGTTACTGTTGGTTTCTCTGGGAGCTTGAATAGTTGGTCGTCACTGCAGAAGGATTATAACATCAGTAAACAGCTGAGACTGTATAAGAAGATGGACAAATGCTCCCTGACGGTGCAGACAAAACATTCAGAGTGACTCAGTCCCAATCAATCAATCTTTATTTATACAGCGCCAGTTCACATCGAGTGCTATCCCAAGATAACAAAAAGCTAGATCATGCTCTATTTATAAAGACCTAAAGATGGGATAAGATCAGACCCTCTCCCATCCTATCTTTAACCACATGAGTGAAGCACTGTCCAGCATTTATAAAGTTAGGGGTAAGAGGGAGAACTTTCTTTAACAGGCAGAAACCTCGGGCAAAACCAGACTGATGTTAGACAGCCATCTGCTGAGACTGAGCTGGGTTTAGAGAGGAGATAGAGGGAGATGCAGTCGATCTAACTCATTACCACATCGTAGGGCTTACACCAATGTAAACGTGGCGATAATTTAGTGACTAAATAGGGCAAGAGCAAGTAAGTCTAGGGACACGGTACAGCTTTGTAGTTTCAGGTGAAGAGCAAACCACTCCTTGCTGCAAAGTCTGTCTGAAGGCGGTATCAACCTGTCCACAGGGAAACAAATTATTCAGGAGTAAATGCAAGAGTTTTTTGTCGTATCGTCGTTTCACCCACACGGAAACGGCATTTTGAGGTGACTGCAAATGTTACTTTTTGAAAACGGGTCAGAGAGCACATAAATCCATAAATGACTACCATTTCATCTCTGTGTGGATGCCTATCTGCATCTTTTGAAACGATCATGTGACACACAGTGAAACACATTTATGGCGACTGTGCGTGTCCGGCCAAAACAACCTTAATATGCATGCTCTGTACTCTTCTTCTGTCTTTTCTGCATTTTCTGGGCAGCATTACAGCGCCACTTACTGGCACTACATTGTTTTCAGTGGTTTCATTTTGAGAGATGATATAAAAACAACCTAGGATGTGTTTATTTTATTTATTGATTTATTAATGGCTTGTTGGTGAGGGACGGGTACAAAATAAATAGAAACACTAGAAGCAGCCATTTACTGTTAATAACAGATGCTAATCAGCAACAGCTGTCCCAAGAACGACTTTAGCCAGCATAAAGGACAAAAACGCTCAAGTTCAGGTCGTGTTTTGGCTTCATTTTTTACAGTGGAGGTAGATAAAGGCATGTTGTCTATATTTGAATACAGTTAATGCTCCTGAGTTCATATTTTCCTTTGTGAATTCATGTCACATTTTTTTTGTTTCAATGGTAGTTTTTCCTCATTTTACAAATTGGCTTTAATGAATCCCGTCGGATTTCCTCCTTGCTTGGGTAACTTCTCTGAACTTCGACTTCATCCTGTGCAGTAATTGGTTTCTTGCAGAGCTAAACTTTCAAAGTTGTTCCTCACTCGCTGTATCTCCCTAAACATTTACGGTGAGTCTTTAAACTCTTCGGTACAACTGGAGTCCCAGTCCGGATCTATGAATGAGTGTCATTCAAGGAAATCAAACGTGAGTTTAATGCTATTGAATCAAAGGCATGGGAGGATATTCAATCATTTTTATTTTACGATCCAGTCTTAAGTCAACATGGAAAATAATGGGCTTTAATAGCTAATGGTGCTTCTTGTGCATGTAATTACACACTTGGGATGTAACCAGAGGGAGTGTGGTAGGAATGCTTCCATTAGTATCCATAATGATTTGACAGATATAAAAGAAGAAGAGGACAAAAAAGGGAGAGGAAGCTCTGATTATTTTCAGGCTGCTGGGATATTAAATGCAGAGGAGACCAAAATAGATGGTTGGTGGTTTTAACGTTAAGGTCAAGTTTAAATCACCCGCTCTCAGACACAATTAGATTAAAAGTTCTCATTATAAACGGATGGAAAATTACGGCGGCTCATTAAGCGGCGGAGTAAATCAGGATGCAAACAAATAGCACAAATTACCGAGCGAGCTGCTAATAGAAGTATTGATGGAGTCTGTGTTTCATTTGTTTCACTTATTGGAGCGCTCTCCTCTCTGCGGTGATCAGTCATATGATCTCGAATAGCAGAGAGGAAATCTGCTGGAAATCTACAACACCCAACACACACTTCATCATGAGGAGAGTCTGCAGTGCAGCAGAGTTAACGGCAGCTATTAAGTGTTAACCTATAAAGGGCAGTGGGTGAAGTTTCCTCAGGCGAGATATTTCATTTTCTGTTTTGTAGAGCCGAGTATGTTTAAAACAATGAGGCAGGAGAAATGATTTTTCAATGAGCAGAAAATCATTATAGCACAGCAGTAATGCAATAAAAGCTCTTTCACTGAAACTGAAATGCAACATAAGACTGGCAATATTTATATTTTTAAGGGAAGACAACAAATCAATGGAAAGACCCGAAGCAGTTTATGGTTGCTCAATATTTTCTAACTTTGCAACCCTGTCCTAACATAAATATTTACTCACCACTTATATCTTAAAAACTGCTGCACTCAATAACCCAAAATTTGACTCATGTTGTTTTTTTGTAATGAAAGGTGTTTCTTTAATCCATGAACACCCATCCCTCTAAATCTTTTCACCTCAAATGAGAATTTTAGCGTCTTTTGACTGATAATTATAGTTTTCTAGCTTTTGCACATTTACCAAATTGGGGATATTTCATTGCACTGATCTGTCCTGGTAAAACAGCCCTAAAAAGCCCAAACTATATACTGCATGTGCAGCATCAAACCGCCAGTAGTCTGAAATTGAACATCAAGAATTGTGCAAGTGATCCACCCCATTATTGTCCTCTTTAGGTGGAGGTCAGATACAAAACATCATTATTCTTTCTCTGGACTAATGGAGAAACAGACGGTAAATACATCACAAAGTATGAGACAAATCAGCTGCATCTCCTTCTGTACCCTTCCAATCCCAACACTCTAGTGGCAGATGGCTGTCTATCATGAGTCTGGTTCTGCTCAGGGTTTCTGCCTGTGAAAGGGAAGTTCTTCCTCACCACTGTGACTGGCATAATGCTGGAAAGTGTTTCACTCATAGTGGGTTAAAATGGCTAAGAATGACTCTGGTCTTGCAAGGTGGGACTGGGGGGTTTTGGTAAATAAAACCAAGAGTACGGTCTATATCTGCTCTTTTGTAAAGCATCTTAGCATAACCTTTGTTGTGAACTGGTGATTGATTGATTGAGATTGATAGGGCTGTTGCTGTACACTGGTACTAATTATAACTCTTTACATGCTAATATTGTGCCTCAAATAAGCAGAAGAGGCAGAGTGCAAGAAGAAGATTCAGTAACCAGATACCTAGCCAACCTTTACTGCAGTGTGTGGCTACAACCGCAGCTTAAAGGTCCAAAGTGACCTCCAACCTGACTGGATTGTGAAAAGTAAAAGTGACCTCCTCCTTGACTTTGACGACTGCCCCATCCTCCTCTAAAGTCTTTAACCCCCCCATCTCTACATCTGCTTTCCACCACCTATGAAACATCTGAAAAACTCCAGTCTTCATTCTCAGACACCCTGACAGAAACCCTGATCCTTCGTCTCTGTCGCCTCTTGCCTGGACAACTGCAAAAGAGTCGAATCTGAGACTCCTTAAACCCTGGACAGGCTCCAGTGTGTGCAGATCTGAGCTGCCAGGATTCTGACTTGCACCAAGCCTTGACGGTACATCATATCCACCGTCATCCATCTTCACTGGCACACAGTCAAATTCTACATGGACTACAAAATCATTCTCATCACCTACAACTCTGTCCATGCTCTCACCCTTCAGTATTCGTCTGACCTCCTACACGCCCACACTCAGCCCTGGAAGATGCAATCCTCAGATGTGTTTCGGCTCTCCATCACCCACATCATAATCTGGACTTCTGGGGAAAGAGCCTCCAGTGTGGCAGCCTCTTCCCTCAGAAACTCTCTTTTTACTGCTCTGTGCGATGCTAGATCTCTAGACAGTAGCTTAAAACCACCTTTGCAACAAGACTTAAGACCTGTAGATAAGATATAAAGATAACTATTGTGGGCCTTGACTTGACGCTTGTTGGCACACATTCAAACTTGTATTTGAATGTGCACCTCATCCTAAAATAGATGTTTGTGCACATTATTTCTTACTAGGAATATTTGAAGGTCAATCGCCCAAGTGAAAGAAACATGAAACAGTTCAAATACATTCAAGACTCCACAGAAACAGGGTCAGATGATTTACAGAAACCAATCAGTCTTTTCTGGGAGTCCCTGAGCTCCATCGTGCTGTAGGTTCTTCTGGATTACTGCAGATGTTTCGCTGTCGTGGACCTGTCTGCTTTCCAGCTGCTTCAACCACTTGCATCGATCTCACCTCTATCTTCATCTCCTTCTATCTCCTCTCTAAACCAAAGTGCAGTAGCAGCAAATGACTTCTTGTGAATTGACACTTCATAAATTAAGATTGATTGATTGACTTCTGCAAAGGAAACACAGAAGGAAAATAAAAATATTTTGACTTAATAGAGGAAAAAAGATGAATAAGATATAAAACTTGAAAAATAATACCAAACACAGACGCCGTTTTGACTCACTTTAGATCGAGCATCCTGAGGAAGACATAGATTCCTTCTCCAGGGAACATATCCTCACAAGGCCACAAAGAAGAGCACATTTCTTTCTCAGGTATAGAAATAGAGCCCATTTAAGACCGTGATAATCCAGTTAATACAATCACAGTCAGACTTAATGGATACGCCTACACATAAGTACAATAAGGGGCTCATAATATACAGCCATACGAGGCTATATATATGGTGTCTATAGGCACTCAGTCATGCTCCAGTTTCTGAATGACAGACACGTGCTTTCTGTTCACTTGTGTCTGAGTCTTATTGAGTCTGAAGGCCTCTGAGAGTCATCGAGGGCACTCAGCCCCCAGAAAACTTGAAACATCTCCAAGACTCATTGTGTGACTGTTTTGCAAACCAGAAATCAAACCTCTGCCTCCTACTGCATCTTCACGTCGCCCATTAATGAGCTCTAAAAACAAACTCCGAGTCAAACCGACTGCGTCCCCGTGGTGGGAGTAGTCAAAAATTGACCTGATAGAGGCTGCGACAGAGAGCGCCACATCCTTCTGATGACTGTGTTTCTGCAGAGAACAGGAAATAATTAGTCACGGGGAGGCGTGGCGGGGGTCTGCAGAGAGGACAGAGGGCTGAGGAAGCAGAAACGTGGCCAGACCAGAGACACAATCGCCACACCATCTGCTGAGGAGCTGCAAGGATTACTGGATAATAATAGGAGGGTTGACACTTTGCAGCACAAAACCTTAATGAAGGATACGTCAAACACGAGACACAAATTTAGGATGTGACTGTTTGAGTCTGCAATTCAGGGCCTCACACACAGGAAGCATCTAGAAATATACAAATCAGTCTTTTATTCTTGGTTAAACGTTGTGGTTGAGTTTGCAAAACAGTCCCTGACCTTTGGATTGAGTTGGACTCCAATTAATCACATAAACTAACACAATTTAATTCAAGAAACAACCCCAGGAAGGGTTACAAAGCAGTGCTCAGTGCATCAGAGGACAATGTTGAATAGAGATCAGTGGTTGTTTGATTTCAGCCGTTAGAGTTTTAGTGCAAACTGTTCATTATTTATTTGCAGCAGCAGATGTCAAGTACTAGCCAGTCCCTCCAGGATTTTTGTGGACTTTCCCTGTAATTGTTGTGGCCTGAAATGCCGACAATTTCGAGGCAGCTACAAGAAGCAACCAGCTGTGTTGAAAGCTGAAGCCAATATGCAAGAGCTCCTCAAAAATGAGAGTCCAGAGTCAAGGGAACCCCATCGGACCCTTTTTAAACCTCCTGGTTTTACTGCAGAGCAAAAAATCATGTTTACAGCCAACTACAAAAATGATTTTGGTCTCTGTGCTCCTGTTTCTTTATTTGTTACAAAAGAAGGAGGGATAAAAGCTGGGAAATTTACATAATTAATAAGAATTAAGCAGCTGTTTGCTGGGCGGCTTGGCTCTGGCTCCAGTTTCATATTTTTGACTGTTTCTAGATGAGCTGAAAGTTTGTTAAAGCCAGAAAGCACTTTGATTTTCATGAAAAGTGTATTAAAAATAAAGCGAGATTGATTGTCAGTCTTTTGTAACTCATCCCTCTATGTTTCCACATTTTTGCATCATTATAAAAGGATCAAATGTTTGAATAAAGCAGAAGTGATTGGGTGACATGCTCGGTGACACCCCCGGTATTAAAAAATGGTGCAGCCGATGCCGAAGTGTCCACTTGAGATTGGCAGCAAAGGTCAGTGAATTCCCATCAGGCCTCATGTTAATAGACTCAAGCTGACAGCAAATTTAAACACGTCTGAAGCCTGGTTCAAAGGAGAGCTTCAGCCTGAGTAGCTCACTTATTTATTTGTACACACGGCTGAGATTTTACAACACATCCGTAAGGTGATACGAAGGCCGGGAGCTGCATATCAATTTACATAATTAGGGCGCGGCTGAGTTAACTGAGGTGGGCTGTCAGTCAACTCAGGGACCATCCTGCTGCACCGAGAGAGAGGACAGAGAGATATCATTAACCAGCGCTCAAGGCTATAGAGATGCCTCTTCTTTTAACTGTATGTTTGTTTGTTGTTATAGGATGCATATGTCAGAGGCTATCATAAAATATCCTGCAAGGAGCAGAGAAGAGGCGATCATTTGCAATGCCTCTTTGACATTAATATCCCTCCATAAAGCCAGCACTGTCTGAGCGACGATTTTTATGTTGCTATTGAATAAAATTAACAGTCTGACAGCATTTAGGTCCTGCTGTTTTCTTTGTCTAACTTAGTCGATGTGACATATTGCATTTTCATGAATGCAAAAAATATACATATCAGGTAGGGCTGGGCAATATGGGGAAAAAGTTTATCACACTATTTTTTTTTTCATATCAGTCTATATCAATATATATCACGATGTTAAAAATGAACTTTTAACAGTGCTTATTGGGAGCATGTCTTATGCAATACAAAAAGCTGCTGCATCTGTGAGGTCTTTGTGTCTCTTCGACGTTTGGTCATTGGGCGTTGTGCAAGAGAAAGCAGACTGAATGGTCGGCTGTTTCAGCTGCACAGGTGCCAAGGGCTTCTTTCTCCACTCAGGGTTTATAACCTTTTGCATTGCGTGTGTTCTGCCGCGTGGCGCTGCTTCAGGTGGTGAAAAAGATTTGAGGTATTGCCCGACCTTTGCGAGAACATGTACTCGACATAATTTGCAGTGCACATTACTCTGCTTCATGTCAGACCTCAAAAAACCAAAATACCTCCACACCACCGATGTTTTCATGCCAGTGTTTTGTCGACGATCTCGTCACCTGTTGAGCTGTCATCTACATTTCTGCCGGGGGTAGCACTCATTTTCTTTTTTTCTCACCGACAGTGCTGTCAGCTTCACATGTTTAAATGCTATGGTTGTGTGTAGCTGCAGCCTGTTGTTTGCTCCTTGGTTCTAATTCAGCACATGATTGTTTCAGCATGCAGTGAACCCAACTCCCCTTTTCATTGGCTATTTGTATAGTCTACCAAAACATGGCAGAATGCCGACTATCGGAAAGCATACTGACCATGTTTCATATTTATATTGAGGGAAATTGATTTTTGACATATATTGTTATCATGTTATCGCCCAGCCCTAGTATAAAGTGATTAACTGCACCATGCTTGAGCGCTTGCCTGACTGTATACTGTGCAGAAGTACACCTCTTCCATTCATGCTTGGGCACAGTACAGAGCACTCACACCGGACTCTAGGGGTCAAACATGCAGGAGTATAGGAACAGATTGCCTTGTGTGAGTGCATCTAAAGTGGCTGTTTATCAGGAGGCTCAAATCTTCCCTCTGCTGCACCTCTTTGTGTATGAATAGGTTGTTTGAGTCTGTATTGTTAAACAGAGCTGTATCGAATTGCATTTTTGGATTTGAGGACAAAAGGAGCATCTGAATTATGAATGCAAGAATGATCTGACTGCTGACTATTACATGGATAGTAAGGCATTTGGTAACTCGGCATTCAGAGACCAATTTGAGTGAAAATTCTCCATCACAGAGCTTCTGCTGCTTCTCTCATTCTGACTCAGACGACTCCAAGATACTGTTCGAAACTGTCGAAATGTCATCTGACAAACCCACACAGTTTCGACAGAAAACAAAACAAATGGGACATAATTTCGGGTAGGGTTTTGAATATATCCGAATGTTTGTTTTCACTTGGATTTTTATGTATGCATACAGAGACTCTCAGCTCTGATGCCGTGTGCATCTCGCTGTTCAGGATCCAAGTTCCCTAAGGCTCCAAATTAAACCAGGTACAGTCATAATTATTAACATTCAAAGCTGTCAAATGCAAAGCAAAGCAAAACGCTGCTCTTAATTTCACCCCGACTACCCACACACAATACAGCAGAAGGTAAACGGCGTCTGTTCTGCATGTCAAGGCGTTGATAATGAGTGTTTTGTGCTACACTTGGCTGTGCAATAATTACAAATAATTGACTGAGGTGTTCTGAGTCAATGCAGATATAAATTACAGCTCAGACGTGCATGCACTGTTAAAAGTAACAAGGTTAAAGCTGCACAAACCTGCTAAATGAAACACCGACAAAAAGACTTCCTCTCTGTTGTTTTGTGATTCACACGGCGTCTGTGTTTCTGAACGCAGCGCTGTGTTTAAAGTTGTATCTCAGTGTTTAATTCTCCAGCAAAGAGAGCCTGGAGGATTGATGATGCTTCTGCTGTCTGTATTGATTTATTGTCCAAATATGATACGCTGCATTGTCTTTGGATCTGAACCAACAGCTTTCTTTTTTTTCTTCATTTTTCAATCTGTTTTGAATCTTTGCAGCATTCATAAGGATCTAATAAGTCTTCACCGTGCGTAGATAACCTGAAAGAAAGAGGCATCTTTTACTAAAGATAAGAAAAGTAAAATAAATATTCATGTGGCTTTAGTGTCTATTTGCTAACAGTAAAAACAGCACTCATCCTTTCATCTGACTGCAAAGTGGCTCTCTCATCAGACTGATGACTTCTCCCTGATTGATCTGAAGGGTACGTCCTTGTGTTTCCTATTATCTTTACTGTATGCACAGTCAGTGTTTGAATAAAAGCTTAGCTACATAAAGCCCTCCTGTATTATTCCCCAGTGTAAACACACCTGTCCAGGTGGTGCTTTTGAAACACTTTCATCCCAGATCCCTGCGATAAGTCTGCGTGTGTATAAGGTCAAACAGAACAGATCATTATGGTCAAATTTATGTTCAATGAGCTTCTCTGTATGTTATCCACTGATGCTACGGACTATAAACCATCCCGTCTAGAAGTAGGACATCACGAAATACGAAAAAATATGTGTGTATTTTTAAATCCTGCCTTGCTGTATTTTCTACTTCAAAGTTTTAAATAAAGGTCAACACTTTGGTTAAATGCATCTAAGAGGAATTATTGATCATTTTAATTTTTCTTCATGCACACCTCCTTCAAACGTCGATTTCAATCCACGCGGGTGGAATTATCGGATCCTTACTCAGTCAGAGATTAATGAGTGCTGCTGCAAAAAGAAAGGGTGTGACAAATATTCTGAATCAGCAAAACTGTGGCGTGACAGGTACCATGACTCGTGAAAATTACTTCTGCATTACACAGATGTGCTTCATACAGCGTAGGTCTACTTTGACCAGATAGAAGACCACTCTCACTGTTTACTCCCGTAACAGACTCTTCCAGACAAACTGTGATCACGTCCATCAGCAGAGGAAGTGCAGTAGTTCTTCACATTGATTGTTTTATCGCAGGAAAACCAGAAAAGAAAAAGAAAGGAGGGCTTAGACACAAACACCTGAGGAGACAACCGAGATATCCATTTAAGTGAAGAAGAGGGCACTTTAACACTTAACAGAACTCAGAACAAGATATAAGGCTGCTGAGGGGCTAATACATGGAAAAGACAAAGGTACTGACTCTGACAAGGCAGTAAAACTCGACTTGCTGCATTTGTGTAGTGACACCTCACCCTGTGGTTCTGATCTGGATGATTGTGATTGTTATTTTGCTGTGAATATATTTGTAAAATTATTTGTCATTTTGAGATTTTTTACTTAGAACCTCCTCAAGTCCTTTTGACTCCAGCCTCCGACAAATACCCCACTTTATATGAACTAAAACAAACACTCAAACTCATAAAAAGTAACTTGAACCAGCATTTTCAAATAACAACAAACTAAAAAATCCCCAAAATAAAACAAAATCTGTAAAAATAGTGTTATATTAGGCTAAAACCTCTGCTTAGGGATCCTGTCTGCTCATTATATATCATCTTTTACATAATCCAATAGATAATTATACACTTTCAATATTCTTTTGCCTCTTCATTTTCGTTTTGCACACTCAAACATTACAAGAAGAAAGTGATTTGTAAAATACATGTGGAGTGGAAACAGAGAAAAGAGGACTGCAGAGAAGAGGCGTCTGAATGTGACATCTGTGATCAACAACAACTTCATGAAACATGAATGAGCTTGAGCCAGACAACACTGACAACAACATCACCGCAGATTCAGAGCAGAAAGACATTCCCCATCCAACAATTTCACAAACTGGAGCCAAGTTTTAACTTTCTTTTGTTTCAAGTTAGACTGATTTAAGTAAAAGATTTAGAGGAACTTTTTGTCACTTTTATACTGCAGTTACATTTTTAGATCCTGTCCTGTTTAAGTCCATCTCAGTAAAGTGGTTGAATAGGTAACTTTGTTCAATAAAAGGGTCTTTTTATCTCGAGGAAAGCATGAGCGTACTTTTGCCACCTATGACAGCTTAAAAAAACCCAAATTGAAAACCAGCATGAAATAAATGCCTCTGAATCAGTAGACATAAAACGTTATGATTTTTCATTTACTTGAATGTGAAAGCACAAGTCCCTGAAATTTGAAGGCTGTGCAAGAACCTGATTCCTGTCAGGGGCGGCTAAGTCACTGACAGCCTCAATAATGATCTTGGATCATACACGGATCACACTGTTACAGAGAAATGAAGAAGCAATGCTCTGCTGCTCTCAATTAAATGATGCTCTTTATTCTATTAACTGAATGTGCCCACTATGAGTCTGACACTCTTTGACTCTGCCAACTCCGAGGAGGCTGGGTAATTTGTAAATGTTGGCAAAACACAAGCGTTTCAGCACATACAGCTATGTGTGATACTGGTGGTTTTTTTGAGGGGGGGATGATAAATCTTTCATGGTGAAAATCAAAATGCATCCAAAAGGACTGTTAGAGAAGTACAGCTATTTCGTGAATTATTTAAGCTCTAGTTTGGCTGGCAAAGAACTGCACTTACAGATCATAGAATAAGCTGCAGTCATTTCAGCTGATCTGGAAGACGCTCAAATTATTAACTAAAATACACTCTTCACTCTGTGTTAACTAAGAGCGCAGAGATTTGTTTCCTTTCATTCTACCAAAATCTATTCATGTTGTTTCCAGCTGTAAACAGGCTCAAATGTAGACATATTCAGTGGGTAAATGAGCTAAATTTGGCCTTTAATAATTCAAAGCCATTATAAATTAACCGATTCTTGAACATACATCACCCACGAGAATATCTTGCTATGAAATTAAACCCTCCTGTGGTGTGAATTCAGTGTTAGAAACTTACAGAAACAGAAAAAAATCATCTCTGTTATTAGAACTAACTGGAGATAACTGGGGATTGAGCCAGGGTCAAGTGGCCGCTGATGGAACTGCAGTTTTTTAACTGCATTAAAAACAACTTAAAAAATATTTTTTGTTTAGTCTCTTTGCTAAAGAAATCAGGCAAAGCTAAAAAGATGTTTGGTGGCTAGTAATATGGCTGGGACCTTATATGTCCTGTTAATGAAGTTAGATGCTGTTCTGAGCATTATTTGTGGATATAGAGTGGCTTTTGGGTTGAGCGCGTGGCTCCTTAGACCACTGTGTATTGCTATTGTGCGGTTGTTACTAAAGTTGGTATAACTACAGAAGAAAGAGGTCGGCATCATTCATCTCAACTGGGTGTCTAACTCAGCGTTACGGTGTGTTTGACCCTGACTTAATTTTAAGAAAATTCCTTTAATGTTTGTAATAATGGATATTATTAGGACTTGACTGACAGGTAAACACACTGTAGCTGTCAGCATGTCAACAAGAAGGTCAGATACCTGCCTCATCCCCACCTCTTTGCCGCTTGTTCAATTGACTAAAGGTTTGATTGGATCAGCATATTTTAAATTCAATACCTATTCAGACAATGCTGGCATTGATTACTTATGATGTGATGCAGCTCCACTCCTGTGGGGGCAGCGTGGGTGCCACCACACTGTGATTCAGGTTGTGCAGAGACTCTTGACTATAATATGGATTTTTGGTCAAAATAATGGTGACAGCAGCAGGTCATAACAAAGGTCAAAAGCTGATACAAAGTCACTGTGTGTAAGCTCCGTGCAAACACAGAAGATAGTAGTCTGTAGTGGACCTACTGTGCTTTTGAAGCCAGCCTCCAGTGGCCACATTTGGAACTGAACATCCATGTTGGCTGTCATTTTCTGCTGCCTGCTCCTGTACGTGTAATCTTAACGCCTGGCTCTCTGGCATGCCTATATTTCTTCAAATCTTGCCCTCCTAAAGCGTAATGAAATAAGCCTGCTGCAGTGTTCAGTAATTCGTCTTGAGCGCTGATGTATATGTCGAAGCCATGACTCCTGCTGGCATGCATCATGTGAGTTGGAGTTCCTAGGATGACAAAGTGGCTCTGTCAGAGTTTCCATCTTATAATCCAATCACAATGACTAACCATCTCGCTGATTCAAGGTTATACTCAAATGTCATGTATGCCTCTGCTTGCCAAGTCCCTGATACTTGTCTTACTCTGGTTAAAAGGATTTGGCTGATGCTCTGTTGAGCTGTACTTGATATGATATCCTTTTGCTGTAAGAAGAACATATTTCAGCACGTTGTTTGCGTTTAAGAAAAGATATAACAGCTCCGTTACTCAAGAGGCCAAGCTTCAAACAGAGGCGGACCAGTGGCTGCCAAATCATGCTGTTTGCCAGCTTGCTGTTAGCACATTAACTTTGATAAAGATTAATACTCCTGACCTCAAATTGCAGATGAATACTCTGTTGCAAGAGGGCAATATCAACGCAAGCACCCTGCAAAAAGGGCAACACTCTTTCACTGCCTCAAAGGTTGCCAACTATCCTAAACTTGATAAAAAATGACTTTTCTGCTTAGGGGGGAGTTTAAACTCTAGTGGCTGCGAGTCAGCATTAATATCAGCACCAGAGCAAATTTTGAGTGTGAGAGAAAGTGATCATGATGAAAATATTAACGCCAGAATAGGATGTAAAATAGCTGTGGAAATTAAGTCTAACAGGAAGCAGGTCAGGGGTGCTGAGAGTTTATCCGCCCCTTGTCTTCCCCTGGTGCAAAAAGCAGAATCAGTGAAATGCTAATCACTCTGAGGAGGAGGAGGAGGAGGAGGATGAGGAGGAAGTCCGGCAAATCTGCTGTGTCCTCTAAAACGGTCTTGTATCTCTGGGCCACGATGGTTTGAGCCTGAGAGTTAAGGTGGGGATACGCCTTAGCAAGCCAGGGCTGATTTATGACCCACTGAGATACAGCAGAGAGGTGTGTACAGCCATCCTGCAGTTATGGGATTTATTGAAGCCTGCTCCTCTCAGCAGGTTGGCCCTGCACACATTCACACACTCAAATATAGACACATACACGGATACACCCGGGTACTCTGTCAGGGGAGGAGCAGGGGGTATTACAGAAAGAGCGGACATGAATTTCATAAATGTCCACTCCTGCAGATACTGTCAGCGACTGTAATAAAAAACTGTAGAAATGTAGCTAACTATCTACCGTGCTAACAAACCGACTAATCAACTACAAAAACAGTCACGACTTAACCAACTCTGCTCTCTTACTAAACCAGCCAACTAACTCACCATCTGACCAATTAATTAACTGACCGAACTACCAAACTGCCTCAGAAACGAACTAACTTACCAACTAACCAACTAAACGACTGACTGACTGACTACCCTACTTTATATGTCACCTTGACCTCAATGAAATAATCACATCTACTTACTCCAAACAACTTAACTAACTAACCAACTGACTAACCGACCAATTATCCAACAGAACTTATCTTCACACCCTCTCGGAATCTAACTTACTAACTAACAATATAACTAACTGAATAGACAAAAAAAAGGGGTTCCCAATTAGCAATCCAACCCCCTTACCAGCTCACTTGCTTACTTGCTAACCTAACCAGTTGACAGACCGGTTGATGACCCACTTCCTGACTGAGTGACTGGTTGACTAACTATCTGGTCGAATAATAAATAAATTTGTCTTGCCAAGTGATTAGCTACGTAGTAACTAACCACCTCAATTAATATGTTAACACACTAGCAACCACATATCTAGTTAGCAGGCTAACGAAATGACTGACCAGACAATTTCTCTACCCAGCCAACTGAGAGGCTAGTAAGCTCACTGTAAACTAAATAAAGTGACAAAACTAATCTCTTACTGACTACTGAACTTGTTGGCTGCCCGATTGCCTTGCTGACTAATAATACCTCTACCAATCTAACTGACCAGTGAGTAAGCTACTATGTAGCTTAATCGGCTGACATACTCAATCAACGACACTGTAGGTCAGTCAGCCAAAGACCCAGGTAACTGGTTAGCGATTAACTCTACTTAGCTCACTAACTAGCTAGATAGCTAGCTGTCTTCCACATTCAACTGATGTACTAAATCATTTAACAAACAAACTTACTTACTTACAAGTTGGCTAATTACTAATCATTTCAAACATGCCTTGTAACTTAAGTACTATTCAACTTACAGAACAACTACCCTATCTATCTATCTATCTATCTATCTATCTATCTATCTATCTATCTATCTATCTATCTATCTATCTATCTATCTATCTATCTATCTATCTATCTATCTATCTATCTATCTATCTATCTATCTATCTATCTATCTATCTAGCTATCTAGCTATCTATCTATCTATCTATCTATCTATCTATGTTCTGTTACAGGGATATCAGGGTGAAACATTTTTAGTTTCTTCATGATGTTTCCAGACAATCTGGTCAATGACCTCCAAACTGTGTTGTCCTGCTGCTGCTGGAAAACAAGCTTTGTGAGAGCAGTGAACTGAAACCTGATTACTTAGTTATGGCCGCCCCAGAAGGTCTCACCCCGGGTCTCCTTCTCTCCAGTACAAACGGACCTGTTGAGCAGTGTAACAACACAAAAAGCTGCAGTTAAATGCTGAAAACACCTCTGTCACCTCGAAAATTGTTCTTTGGCTGGAGGAAGAGGAAAAAACAGCAGAATGAGCTGCCTTAAAAACTCGTTTCCAGGTGTTCAGTGGCTGTTTCTCAGTCCTCTATTACATCGCGAGGTTTTAAAGCTTAATTATCCGCCGAGGTCTCCTCATTTTCAGAACTAATCGACCAGGTAATTAAACCAGCTGAAACACAGAGCAACAGGTTAAAATCTGGGGCTTTTTTTTAGCATTTACTGGTGTTGTGTCAAGGCTCAGCGCAGTGAAATAATAAACTTTCATAGCTGATGGAAAACCTTTATCTGGTTAAAAGTAAAGAAAAGAGGTGATAGAATAGTTTAAAAAAACAAAGAGAGAAGATTAAGCAAGATGTGTCATGTCTATTAGACGGTTTTTGGTTGTGGAAAATTCAAATAACCTTTTTTTGGTCACAAATCTTCAAGATTTATCACTACAGGTGGAGAAGAAATGCAAAAGTTTCAAGCTGAGGAGCAAAGTCTGATTCGAGCATTATCTTTGTGTTGAGTTTCGCCTTTATTTCAACTGTGGGCTTTTAAATTAACAGTTGTAGATAGTTTAAAACAAACATAAAGGTCAGTGCCGCTTTAAAGCTGAAATTTGGTATGTGACACTGCAGCTGGATTAATTTAGACACAGTCTAATGGACCGTCTCTGCAGCAGCGCTGTAATTTGGCTTCCAGTCCTCACTTGGGACACAATTTTTGTGCTGAGCCTTTGGACTGCACAAAATTTAAAGCGACCCCCCTGCGCCTTTCATGCGACTGAAGGTCCCTCTAGTTTTCCATTTTTATCAGTGACATTTTCTAAGTCTGTGATTTCACACAGCGACCCAGGAGATCTGAGAAGAGGAAGAGGGGGAGAAAGACGTCAGCAGCAGCAGAGATGAGGTACAGAAAAGAGTCATGATGACGGGTGCACTGCTTGTGTAATAGAAGCAGACGCTATTTTGCAACAATTGCAGCACTGCCTGAATAATTCATGGATGCGCTCTCCGTGACGTCATCAGTTGGTTTTTGGCCGCAGCCCTTTTTTTTTAGGAGCATGGAGCTCAGCGTTTTGAGCGATGCCATGTGGGATTTCTGGACAATATTTAGACCAGAAGCTGAAGAAGCCGGAGCTGGAGAGTAGGGAAGTGGTTGGCAAACATTAAGCCATATGCAGTCTGTATCTGTGTTCAATTCATTTAAACATCACTTAACCGCAGCAGGAAAGAAAGGAACCACTTGAGAGGATTTCTGACTGAAAGTTTTCTTTTTAATCAGACAAACTTACTGAGAGAGAGCATGAACTGTGGCTAACTCACCACTTGAAAACACCACTGATAAATAGCAGGAAGCAGGTAACTCTAAATAGACCAATCTCTCTATAATCTCAGTGCCACTATACTGCTGTTTTTGTGCAGGTAGAACTTTGACTCCCATGCACAGCCAGCTACAAATACAAAACTGTAGCAAATCAGCAAAGAAGCTGTGGTAAGCACTTACACTGATGCGTGCCACTATGGGAAGGCAATTTTATTTACACAGCAGATTCAAGCAACAAGGCAATTCACAGTGCTTTATACAGGACATGAAAAGAAATGATAAGAGAGAGCCTCAAAAGAGAAGCTGACCAAAAAAAAAGAAAACTTAAAAGGCAGCACTGAAATGATAAAAAACCCTTTAAAAACCCAAGAGAAGGTCAAATCTAAACAGACTTCCACAAATTAAAGGAATAAAAATTACATTGCTATGATTTGTAGTTAAAAGAGTTATTGAAATATCTTTAAAAAGCAGTCATGAACAGGTGAGTTTGCAGCCTTGACTCAAAAGAACTAAGAGTTTTAGCAGATCTGCACTTTTCTAAGAGTTTGTACAAGATTTATAGAGCAAAAAAAATAAAATAAATCTACACTGCTTCTGCATGATTGGTTCCTGACTCTAGAGACCCGAAGGATACCCATCTCAGACAAGCTGGATCATCATACTGAATCAAAAGACCACAAATATATTTTGGCCCTGAACCATAAAGCCCTTTAAAACCATTGGTACAGCCGTGTTTGGAAATCTATCCCCAGTGGACAGAGAAATGATGTGGTTCATGTTCTTTGTCTCAGCCGCAGCATTAGTGCAGACATAAAAAATGTTCACAATAGATCCGCTCTATGAAATAAAGTTAAGCAGATAATGCTCTGGTACGATGATAACTGCCCAAAATAGCTGTATCATTTCTGTTTTATGTCTGTATGTCTGCAAATACCATCATGAATGTATTATCCCCATTATCCATGCAGCACTCTAAGTGAGTAGAGATGTTATGATAATGAGGTGCTGCACTGATTGGCTGCCTGCATGTTGTCAGTGGGCAGACTGATGCAGACAAATGCAGAGGTGGAAAAACACCAAATCAAACATGGCGAGTGCGCCAGAAGAACCTGCATCAGTACAAGATATCCAGAATCTGACCCTGAAAAATGCTGATAAAAACAAAAAAGCAACCACTGTTTTTCAATGGTCCCCATTGCAGGGATAGAGAGGAGAATTTGTTTTGATCTTTGCATCCAAACTACACTCAGCAATGCCAAAACCGCAACACTGTGGGAGGAAGTGAAGTCATTTGAGGAGTGGGAGTGGCTTTTCTCCTGTCGTTACATCATCACAGGAGCCAACTCAAATTACCCTAAAGAAGCTGTGGTTCCCCAGCAGGTGGGCTGCAGAAACAACAGGGAGGATTTTGGTTTTACATTCACAAGGTTGCCAGACTGAAGGATGGCTTTATAGTATATACATTTGTGAGGGCAAGGAAAAAACAGTTATAATTTTGGATTTTACGAATTTTTTTTAGCAATTTTACAAAGTTGTAATGAAATTTGAATGCCAAAACTGCCTGCTCTACCAGGTTGTAAATTGCACTGTAAAGTTGGTCACTTTAAACCGGAACTACTAGGGATTGACTCACTTTCAGACCCAGCCTCAAGTGGTCACCACAGGAACTGCAGCTTTTCTGCATTGGCTTGATATCTCAAAGGTCATTGCTTTGTTTCTCAGGAACACGCTGATAAAAAAAAGGGTTCAGGGTATAAAAACGATTGAGTGTTTAGAAAAATGTGTCCACTCTGGTTGTAAAACACAGCCGAGAAGTTAGATTTACAGATGTTAGACAGGGCTAAGACTCACGGGGAATGTCTAACAACATTTCCAAAGTGAGAGACAGGAGGCAAGGAGAAGTGAGAAACACTGCTGCATATCGATGAATCTACTTTCACAGATTGCAAACCTTTCCCACCCACCCGCTGAAAGCCCATTTATAACATACACCACCAGTCACACCAGCACAGATGGTTTTGTCCCAGTGAGGCAGCACAGAGCGTTTAATCTAAATAAGAACACGACACCAAAGCAAAAACACGGCCTGCCTCCAGGGATCCTCGCTGTCTATCATGTGACATTTCAAACTGTTTAAATGCCAAACACACGCTCCGCTGGTCTGAGGTCTAGTTGCATTTTAACCTCTGAGACGTGTGAATTTACAAGGCGCTGAGTTGTGCGTGAAACAAATTTGGTTTGCTGTTTCATCGTCGATACAAGGGTCCTGGTCAGGCAAGCATGTAATAGTCACTCAGACCTCACAAAGGGGCTCGGTGCTGGCAAATCAGCACTTTTTAAATTAGCACAAGGAGACGAGGATGAATTGACTGAACCAACAGACCTTTAGTTTAGTCACACTCACAGGAGCATAATGAGAAAGAGAAGATGGGCCGAATTGAACAACTTTTTTTATCTTCTTTGTGACATTTTAATTATTTTTGAGATAACCAATTATGATTTATTGACCTCAACCCTTTTCTTTGTTCGTCTGATCTTAAATAGCTGCTTTTGGATCATGGAAACTGTTTTAATTTGGTAATTATGGGATGCACAAAATGCAAAACTTGACACATAATTACAGGCCAGTGCAAAGGAGCCATAAGGTCAGCTCTATCTGCAATTATCAGGACTCTGCAGACTTTGCTGAGTTTGTTACATCTTTAGAGATTTCCCAGGCTCATGGTGGAGGGTTCCTCCTAAATAAGACAGGATGATGCATGGTCTCATACTGTGGGAGGACACTAATGTGCCTGATGTGGTAGCTATAGAGCTTCATTAACTTTTGTGCACAAACCTGATATACCAAACACAAGCAGGCAGATTTTAATTCCCACTCAAACTCTGCAGAGTCAGAGGAACAGGCTGTTTTAGCACACAGTCTTGGCATTTACAGGTAAGATGTCATCTGACTGTCCTGGCACAGGAATATATATTTCAGTCAGAGCACATTTGAAACTGTGAAATGTCATTGCAGACTCTATAAATAAGAACTTTATATCTCTTATATCTAGGCTGGTGTGTCTTTTTCTTTTCTGTTTTTTTTTTCACCTTGACATATTTTCGAACTCTCTCAAACTTTTTGTAGTTTTCCGCAGAGGGGTTGAGATGTTTTGATGTTGTCTCTCCGCTGATTTAAAGAGGTTTGATCATCATACCATGACCCCTGTCCCCAGTCTCCAGTACGTGACAGAAAGTAGGCACCTCATCCTGGTTTACCATCATCTGTGCTCGCTCCCTGATCTCCACTGCCTCTCTTATCTGATGTTAGTGTCTGTTAGTCTCTGAGTGGATGACCTTTGCTTTTCTCTCATCCATGGTGTAATTTTCTCTTTCGCAGTGGTCTGAGATGGCTGATTTTGTTTCATGTGTGCAGGCTTCAGATGTTTTTTCCACACAGGCAGGGTCTGGGTCTATTCGTTTTTTTGGATGAACAAATATCTGAGTTTGATTCGTGGCTTTGCTGACGTGCTAATGATGCTTTTTTGTGACTGAAGCACTCCTGCCCAGGCAACAATGTCTTTCCCAAGCTTAAAGGTCTGTACACACCAGGAATGACGCAAAATTACGAAATATCCGGAGGCGAATTTTGACACACCTGACTATACACAACAAGTGCGACGCGATTATGTTTATTAGCATATACTGATCATCAAAGTAAGAGCATGCAACGTTGAAGAAACCAGCAGGAATAACAGACGGAAAAGTTGAATTTTCTCCCTTAAAACACACGCACCGCCTCATTAGCTTGGCGAGAGCATTTCATTGGGGAAAAGACTCCAGCACACCATTTTTATCACCTACTGTACAAACTACCTTTCCTTGCTGCTTCTGTGCAACCGCAAAGCTGGTTTTAATTTGGCCATTTGTGCCTTTATTTGACACTGAACACGGTAAAGAGACTGTAAATGGAGGAGGAGGGAGATGGGTTACCTGCAAAGAAGGGCTAAGGGTGTAAATATGTGATTGCATAAAGAGCTCAGTCTCAGCACTGCAGGTGCATGCTCTACCTGAAACAAGTGCACCCCTGAAAACTGGTTTTAGCTTTTTGAAGAGACAGAGAGTGTAGACATGCAGGAAGGAAGGCAGGTGAGCACAGACTCAGGTATAGACTTTGTTCAGGATGAAACGACTAGACAGACCAATTACAGGTCTGCAAAGGCCACAGATACTGGATTTTTGTCTCCTTTTCTCTTTCAGAGCATTTGCTGAATCAATCTCTGTCACAGAATAACGACATCTTCAAGTACAGATTGCAAACCAGAGATTTAATGAGGTTTAAAAGTTTAACTACATATTGACCGACACCCTCAAGCTCGGCCAATTCGATTTAAGACTGACAGGAAGAATCCAGTGACAGCAAAGAAAAGACTTGCATCTTCATGTGGAGCCATGCAACAAATGCTGCTTTATTTTTGAGGTCCCACTTTGAGCTGTTTTAAGCTTTAATTGTGTTTTTAGTCCATTTCTGGGGTGTACCTCAGGGATCTGTGCTAGATCCTCATATATTTTTTTGTATATCGCACTGATTTAGGTCATGTCAGATCAAGTTTAGTCTTAAAAGTTTAGTCAAAGTCAACCATTATCCCCTTTGTTCAGAGGCTACAGCCCAGTCTTCCCTTGGACCCCCATCATACCACCTCTCACTCTCTCTTCCCCATCTTTCCTGTTTCTCTCCGGCTGTCCTACATTATAAAAGCAAAACACCCCAAAAATAACTTTTAAAAATCCAAGTGGTTCCAATCCTCAAAAAGACTTCCTCAGATCTCAGCTGAAAAAGCTTTTCAGTGAGCAGCAAAGCATCTTTAAAAACTTCAATCAAGTCCTGCTGTCTCTTGGATTTAACTCGGAGAGAGAAAACACAACTTTTACATGATACCAGTACGCAAAGTTGATTCATGTTGTGTCTCCACGCTGGAGGAAATTATCTGTCTCTCCAGCTGCTAAAGGCTTTTTTTATGTTAACTTGTTCTTGCAAACTTTGTGTGTCAGCTGGGAGGGAAGCGAACAGAGCTTTCTTTTTTTCTTTTTTTTTTTTTTTTTGGATCATTTGCTGAAAATTGCAGCCTGCTGTTTCGAGAAGCAACTTCAGTAGGATCATTATATACCACCACTTGATTCGATAATTGATACGAGCAGCTTTAAGCTACATATTGAGTGGCATTTGCAGTCTGATTTAACAGCTACAAACTGCAGCTGCTGTCCTCACAGTTTGAGCTTAAACTGCAGCGACTGTAAAGCCAGTTGCTTAATGAGGCCCTTTTGAATATCACAGTTCAAGCTGGATTCAGTGCTTTGTGAGAAAAAAAGCCAATGCATGTTTCAGAGTATCTGGAGAGAGAAGCCCTCTGCTGCTGCACATTTAGCAGGATTTCATCTTTCCCTAACCTAACCCAGCTCTGACATTTCTCCTCATTTTGCAAGTTGCGCACTGCCTGCTGGTTTTAATCGACATAATTTAAAAGACAAACTGCACGAGTGTCTGTTTTGTGCTGTTTGTTAAACTGTCCTATTTGCTTTGTCTGCTTTTGTGGCTTTTCTGAGTGGGCGGATAATCTTGTGATGGAGCAAGAAGCTGCAGTGGCTGCCAGGGGCAAGAGGAGGCGAGTAGAGTCCATCCTAGGGAATAAATAGCCCAGAACATGATCCAAACCTGCAGCTGAACAATATGTCGAAACCTGCAAAACAGCTAACTAGTCTGTCCTATTTAATCTTTAGAAGTTGAAAGTCCCCGATCGAATCAGTGAGTACATTAGAATTTCAGATGAGTGCTCCCCTTCGACCACTTGAAACAGAACACGGTATTTCTCCTAAATGTCATTACAGCAGCTTGCAATTAAACCCACAGGCCCACAAATGGCTACAGAGAGCCGTCCTAATTGGCAGTCATCAGCTATCAATCAGTCTCCAGGGCTATAAATAGCTTTCTTATTAATAGAAACCAACTCTTGTGCCCTCTTTCATAGGCGTGCATACAGTAAAGCTGTGTCATGAAAATCTAGGACAGGAAAACAACCAAACTTTTTAATCTAACACTCCAACAAATTGAGACATACCAGCAGAAAACTCGACCAAAGGCTCTGGGTCAACTTTTGCTCAGAGGTTGGACATGTCGTCTACCTTTCCGGAGACAGGCTGTTTGACTGACAGGTGAAAAGTGTCCTCAGGTAACACGCTGAGCTATCCGTGTGATGCGAATGAAAGAGATAAGATCCTGACGGGCATGTTGGCACCTTGGATGGCAGCTTCTACCATCCGTGTGTGAGTGAGTGTGACATGGTGATGAGGCGTGGAGTGTTAAAGGGGTTTTGAATGGTTGGAGGGCACTGCTTAAGTGCAGTCCAATTACCATTTACCAAAGATGAAGTTGTACTTAGACACGGTGGGGATTTAACCTGGATGGCAATGTGAGTATTAACCAATGCTAACCAAAGCAATACTGTCATGATGATGGTTTACCGTGAATATATGACTGCGCATCTACTTGGACTGGCTATGTGTTTATTTTGTTGCACGGCTTCTTGCATATGTCCACGAGTGCTTAACTCACTGACCCAACTAGTGCACTCCCAGATAACTTGTACATTAAAACAGGTGCAAACTCATGCAAATATGAAACATACATCTTTGAATATGCGGTACACTGCAAAAACTCAAGACTTTCAGGTCAAAAATGTCATACTAGACTTAAAAGACGCCTTATTCACCTCACAATTACAAACATTTCGAGATAGTACGACAAATAAGACTTGAGTATCTTGTAATTAGTCGGAAAAGGAACAGCCGATCAAGTATGAAACATTTACTTATTAAGTGTCTTGGATAGAGAAACAAAAGTAACGACAGATTTCACAGTTTAGTTCATGAAGTGTGTGAAGAGAAGTGAAATAGCCAACACAGCACACCACATGTACATTAGTTTCACCAATGACCTTCCTGGTTAGAGAGTCCTGACGAACCTCTCTAACCAGGATATTCAACAAAACATCACTCATGAAAAGTTTTCAATAAAAACATATGACAGATGACAGGATGTTGTCAAAATTCACAAAGCTAGCTCTCTTGCTATGTGGTAGACCTGCAGTGGCAGTGATTTCTATTCACTCTTCTTCTTGTAAGTTTGATTGTGGTATTATTCGGGACACATCGTATGTGTTCACTCTCCATTTCTGACATCCATCTGACTTAAAGCTTTGTTTGTCTGTTGTCATGATGACTGAGTTTTTAATGCCTCCTTCTTTAGTCGGCTTGCCTCCTGATTGGCTTTCGTTACCGTCCATCCACAGAGTGGAAGCTCATCCATCCTTCGGGTGCTTCTCACATACAACAGGATTTCTGATCATCTGCAACATGTTTGCAACTTAAACCTTTTTTTTAGCCTTTTTAACAATGTTATTAAACTGATTTTCTTATGATACTAAAAAGCTTTGAGCTGCTGGTCAGACAAGCAGAAGAAGAAGAAATCGAGGTCTGTTGGTTTTATCATCTGGAAAGCGTGGAAATTGGTGCTAAATCCCTTGGCAATGCATCCAATTGTTGTTTTGGTACTACAGTGTTGAAGTGACTGAAGGGCCAGCCTTTAGACATCAACATTTCCATCCATCCATCCACCACCATATGACAGAAAAGCTGAAACTGAAAGCAAGTTCCTGACCTTGAGAACAGCTCTTCTTGTTTGGTTGCCAGCTGAGACATTTCCATGTCACCTGGGCGACCGGAGAGGAAGGTCATGTTGTGAGTAAAGCTCCAGAAGAGAGTGATAAAGTGCTTTTGTCCAACAGTATACTTTCAGGGTCAGGGATCAACTTTATATCTCAACTTTCCAGTCCCGGGCGTGCTTTGAGAAAAATGGAAATTTGAAAATGTGCGGTTTCAGGGGAACCGAGCCTTGAATTGATTCTGAGGAGAAGCTTGAGAGCAGTTATTGAGGAGACCAAAGCAAGAGCTGATTTAAATAGATACACTTTAACCTCATTATACACATATTTCCATTTGAATACAGATCTCAAAGTAAGAGTGTTTTAGGTGTCTCTGTTTTTGTTTGTAACCTGAGTACCGTCCACTTGCATAACAACACAATTCAAATATTTTTGGGCCCTTTTTCTTGCCCTAAACAGAAGCCCACGCTCTTGCACACACTCACAGCCACACACAACCACTCCAACAGTTTTCAAGCAGACAATTTATGTCACACCGGAGAGACTCACGCTGCAGCTCTCCTCCAAACTGCCGATGACCAGAACAGCAGACAGCAGCTGCAGAGACTTATTTATCTACACTAATCTAACAGCCTGTCTCAAACCACCACAGCCTGATTTCTTAGAGCTATAAAACATTTGAAACAGCTTCTGGACAAAAAAAAGTAGCTTACACTGTACGCTGAGGAGCATAAAACACTCAGCTAAAGAAGAGCACAGGAGCTTTAACTTATGCCGACACATCAATGTTGATAACCGCTGCTACACTTAGATTCAGACCTCCATCTTTAACAGCACAACAGCCAAACATACAGGGGGAAAAACTTCGCTGCGACACAAAATCCTCAAGTACAAACTAACTAAAGGGTCATCCTGCGGGACTCTGATCTCAGCAAAGTCTGTGACAAAAGTGTTTATGTTCACATTTCTGTCTCTGTTGTCTTCAATCTTCAATCGACAGTTCTGCCAATTTCGTGGAGTGTATCCTGCCTCATGCTGCTGCTTAATTATGATTCTATCAGTTTGAGCACAATACTCCATTATTGAGAATCTCCGTTATGCTTAGGCTAAAGGTCATACATAACAGATTGTTTCGTTGTTCAATAACGCTAACAATAAGGAGAAATAAGAATAGGCTGACTCGAATCACATGTGTACTAAACTGGTTGGCAAGTTGATTTAGATGACGATCACATGCCGAAATTAGAGCTGCACAATAGGGCTGCAACGATTAGTTGACGTTGTTGACAGAAATCGATAATGAAAAAAGTCGACAACGAATTCCATTGTCAACTATTGTCGAAAGATGTGGGTTTTTTTCCAGTGGAGTGAGGCATCTTACTTCATTACGATCTCTGCCTAGAGTCACACATATGCAATAGCGCCTCTGCCGAGCGGTAGGGTATTCAAACATGGCGGCGCCAGCATCCCATACAGCAGCTACAAATACGCACTTAAAAACCTCCAAAATTTGGGAGCACTTTAGCCAAGATAAGGCAAAAAAAAAAAAAAAAACAACAATTTGCGTATCATGGAAGCATGTCGGTGATGCATGAACATGTCTGATTAGCAAGAAAATCAGGTATGTGTGTGTTAGTCAAGCAGAGGGACAAAGTGAGCATCTGTATTATGGCTTTCATTGAAATTACAACTTTGGTTATGAAACCGAATGAAATACACAATGATGCGTCTTTATGATGCACAAAAGCAGCAATGATACAAGGCTTACAACTGTGTCCACAGGGGGCGCCAAAGTCAGCACAGACAGAAAGTTCCTCACAGGAGCTTTACGCCAAACTTTGAAGGATGTTCTGTTTTTAGATTAAACAAGAAACAGGAAACGAGTGATTAATGACTCCAATATTGATCAGCGCAATCGTGATCATCATTTTGGCCATAATCTTGCAGCCCTGTAAATATAATAATAATTGTAAAGACTGAAGTAGACAATGGTCGTGGACCTTGAAAATATGTGGGCTTTGGTTACACTGCAGACAGTGTCATGCATGCTTTTCTGCAAGCACTGGCTCTGTGCATTAAAATAGTCATACAGATCGTGCAGATCGTTTAATGTTGTCTTAGAACCATTCAGGTAACATCTAAAGGAAACTTTCTAACTGTATTTATCTCTAAGAGCAGATTTGCAGATAACAGCCACTTGTAGATGTCCTCAGACTTCACTCCCAACTTCGGTTTTGGGTCACAAGTTAAAGCCGGACTATAAAAATTAATCAGTAAAAGATGAACAGTGATTTGCCCAGGGGATCCTCGTTAACACTCATCTTAATAAGTACCAGCTACACCAGAGGCCCTGACAAATTGGCTGTTTCTCTCAGGGGATTAATCGCTTCAGCTGATCACTGTAATCACATTTTTAATCACACTTTAAAAAGAAAAAAAACTGCAATGAGATTTTTGTGTGTCCTGCTGCATTCCCAATTCGTGCACAGGACACCCCTCGCAACTTAAATGACCCGTGAATCGGCCCACGACCTGTGTGTAAACAAGAGCCTGGACTGACCATAGAGTCACGTTTATTCTTCAAAGCTGTGTGTCGTGGAGACACATCAAGGGGAGCAAAGTGTCAGCGCTGATTTGAAGCCTCAGCAGAGTCAGAGCAGGGATGTGTCAGGGAGGAGAGTGTAGAGAGCACAGGGGGATGCCTGCCTGATAGAGATGTGAGGGGAGGCCCCCCAAATCCCTTTTATATCACAGACTCACAAGCATGTTGAAAAACTAGCACACAAGCCTGAGGGAAGGGGGGGCAGAGAAAGAGATCAAAGTGAGATGGAAATCCAGACAGAAATCCATGCAAGTGTAAGAAAAAGACAAAAAACTGCAGACAGACATCAGCCTTTGTTCCCCGCATGCAGCTGAGTCAGTTTATCTGATCTGCTGAGGGAAGACTGCACTGCTGCATGACAACTGAAGCACAAAGAAACTCAACCTGCCTCAGACATGTACACAAACACAGCTGCTGTAGTTCCCCCTCTGTGACGAGGTGAGCTGAGAGCGCCCGGAGTGTTCTGCGTCTGTGTATCTGAAAGTGGAGGAGCCAATAAAGCTCTCCTGACAGGTTACAGTAAATAAAGTTCTGACAGGTTTTCTGCTCATGTGGATCCAATCCTCCCACTGCACCCATCAGTTCTCCGTATGACTCCCCTCACCTCTGTTTTCAATTAATAAGAGGTGCTGGAGGGATCATAAGGTATACGTTTGTGTGTGTTTGTGTCTTCAGGGCAAGGTCGGGGATAGACGGATGCTGTCAGCTCAAATAATCACCTGGACTGTGTTCATTTGTTCACTCACACTCTCTCACTCACTCACCCCTCCAAGAGGGAGGGGCAGAGAGTACAGGCAGACACAGGGGCCATCAGGCATGCAGTGCACCTCACCGCTGGCCCTCGGGCTGCCCTGCGAGGGACACTTGCTCTTTTCTGACCTATCGCACAAGTAAATGTTAAAATGAGGGGGAGCAGACGGGGCTTCTCATTGACATTCCTGCTGGTTTTGAATGGTAATGTGGCAAAAAAGAGACTGCACCCATGGGTGCTGTCCTATAGCCAGAGATGAGTGTGCCGTCCCTGGCTTGCTGGCGAGTCAGATGTGGCCTGTGCCAAAGTCCCCTCACAGCCCAAATGTAACACACCACTGGAAAAAAGCAGAAATGTTAATCTGGTATTCTGCGTGAACACCAGCAGAGAGACACAAGCCGAGAGGGACTGCAGCTCCAGCCCTCTGACATGCTGTTGTGTTGCGATTATTGAACACGCAGAAATATATTGTTCTTATTTCTGCAAGTTATTATCCTGAATGTGCTTAACTGGAAAATGATGTCCTCTGTTTAGCTGATTAGACGACTGGACCTGCCAAATACTTAATTACTTCCCTGACAGTGAGCTGGTGTGCTCCTGAGTCTTTCTTAAAGGCTTAGACTACTAAGGTACGGTGGCTCTGAAGGGTAATTGCACAAATATTTTATGAACACACACAAAAAAAGGATTCAACAGACCATAAATATACTTGACAAAACACACAAGATGATTTCATGTTTGTTTTGTTTTTGTTTTTAGGTCTAATGAATTATTTTTGCAATACATGAAGACTTCTATTTTATGAGCTATTGTTAAGTTATATGTTTTGTTTTATGCCCTTTTTGAAATATTTCTGCTTTCTATCAAAAAAAACACTTCATATCAGTTTGGATCAGATGAAATTTTTGTGGAGTGTAAAATGTTTTGGGTTTTCAGTCTAGTGTTTTATTCATTTATCTATTTATTGTTTGTTTCACAGAATATTTTGGATTTTTAATAATATTTTTGCACATGTTTTTCATGTTGGTTAATGTTAATGAGTTTGATACATTTTTTTGCTATTATTGAAATATTTCCAACATTCAGTGTAATGATTTTTTTTACTGTTTCCCTTTTTTAAATATATTTATGCATGATTTTTTCCCCTTTTTTTTGCATGTTCTGCATGTTTTTTGTTTCAATGAAATATTTTTGTGCTTCTTAATTTTTTTTTTTTTTTTTTACATTTTATACTGTGCTGTATAAAATATTTTTGTCAGATTTTCATGGGTTAAAATTTTTTTTAGTTTAATAAACCAATATTTGGCATGGTTCAGAAATGGTTTTCATATCAATGAAATTCGTGTGCAGTTGACCTTCAGGGCCACCATACTATAGACTTGAAAATGCATGGATTTGGGTGTTATTGGAGATCATTTAAGGAGTAATTGGAGGGGGACCTGAAACAAAAAAAAAACGTAAAGGTCAGGAGACTGAATAACAGGTGGAGAAATCACTCACCTATAGTCGACACCACAGTCCCAACAAAATAAAAAGCTCCTGTAAAATCCCATCGTGGCCTCAGAGCGTCAGCCCGGATCCCGGCGGCGATAGCAGCCTCATACTCCCGCAGGAAGGAGTTGAGGTCCTGCAGGCTGATGTTGAAGGTCTCGCTGAAGTTGTGGAGCGTCCCGTTCCAGCGGCCATGAGCCCGCAGCTCCGAGGGCCTCTCGATGGCCGAGAAGACCGCAGCGCCGCACAGCAGGTACAGGACGATGAGGAGGGCGAGCAACACGAAGCGCCCGTTGTCCTCGTTCAGGTGCAGGGAGCGGCAGCCTTGCAGTCGAGGCATCATCCAAATTTCAGCACCACGCGCGCGTCGGACAGCGACAAGCTCCACATCGGAGACGGCATTCACTCGTCTGCAGGTGCCCTCTGGAAGTCACTGTCCTGCTCTCTCACTGCACTTCTGTGGGCAACATTTCCTCTTGTAAACCCTCCACGTTGTCCCATTGTAGTTGTAAAGTGAGATTATGTAAGTCAGGGAGGCAGACAAACGCTCCACTTGTGGATCTAAGTCTGTACATCCACGGAAGAGTTCATGAGGAAAGCTGCATAATTTCATATTAGACACATTTCCCTCAACAGTTGTTGCACTGCAGTTGGTGTAAACTGGACTGCAGCTCAGATCCCAACAGGCGCGCTGAACGCTTCTTTGTGCAAAAGCAAGCAGTGGTAGTAGAATCCTGTGGGTCCCCTGCACCAAAAATGTGTCTCCGCCAAAAACCACCAGGACGCACGAAATTCTGCAAGAAACAGATTTAAATCCCAATCATGTCCTCGCTTAAAGTCATCTATCCTCAGGCTCGCTGCAGCTTTCATGTGGCACATTACATCCTGTCAGCGCATATGGTGAGATCACTCCTCGCTATGAACCGGAGGCTACAGCATCCCGCCACTTTAGGAGGGAAACGGCAGATTGAGCGAGGCATTGAGATTGTGCAGTTTGCTGAGGAAAAGCAGTTCCCCCCGTGCGCCTTTTACCTGAGCTACTCCTCTGATAGCAGGGGATTTACAAATTCACTTGAGTGCAGCCCTGTTACTTCGTGCCATGCGCACTGAGAGGAGTCCACTCACTGGAAACTGGACTCACATGCAGAGCAAATTCACACTCATGTACTGAGCTGCTTAAGAAGTTCTCCAGAGCTTCAACGCGGAGAGTATACGATAATAAAAAATGTATTATCAGAGGAGGAGAAATATACAATCAATGCGCCAGAGTATACTTACATCTCAAAGACCTGCAATTATTCCCTCCTCGAGTACCGAGATACTATAAATGAAGCCAATTTCATTGAGCTGCAGAAACCACAAGTTGGAATCAATATTTAAGTAATGGCAAATTATTGGATTTGCGTCAGACATTTTACTGGGAACTAAATAATGTCAGGACTGCAGTTGGAACTCCTTTTTGACTTTTAATAGACTGAATCACTCCGGCTAATTACAAGGATGTGCTGATTTCTACTTTTCCAGAATCAGGATCAGCTTTAGTCTTTATTTATACTCATCTCCTTAAATCAGACGTTAAGGCTCCTGTGAGGAACTTTTGGCACAGCCTGGGGTCTTTGGGTTTTTGACCTTTATATACTAAAATATACACTCTAAAAGCCCCCGAGTGCAACACCAGGGTTGAAAAGGGACTGACTACTTATTGGGTTATTATCACCTCTCTAAACTTTGAACACAGGCCTATAGGACTGTGTCGGATGGCCCAAATGCTCTGATAGAGAATAATGATGCTCTGTAATCACAAGGATTATACCGATATGTTGCTGCAGTCACAGTGAGTGTGTGTGTGTGTGTGTTTCACAGGTTATTATCGCTTGGTGTTCAGTGTTTGTTCTGGCGCTCTGTGACTGCTCAGAGTTCATCACAGCGTCTGTCTTTGTATCTGAAAGTTTTGGGGTGCAGAGCTCTGTAATGCCTTCCTGACGAGGGGGGGGAGTTGAAACAGTTTTTGCCTGCAGTGTGAGAGATCTGCGGAGATGATACCTGCCCTTTTCCTGACCCTGGACTGGTACAAGTCCAGAATAGGGGGCAGGTTGGACTTGGTGATTCAATCTGCAGTCTTGATCATCTATTTCAGTCTTGTCCAAACTGAACAGTGATGAATGTGCTCAGAATAGACCAGGAACAGGATCCATCGTGAACACAGTGCTGATGAGGATTATTAGGGTAGAGGGATGCTTATCCTTAAGTCTACTGTCTTCTTCACAATCATAAACAAATTCAGCTCCAGATGGTTCTGACTGCACCATCCTGAGGGGGTGTTCTGTAACTAAGTAAACTAATTAACACATTAGTCTGCTCGGGGCCCACATGAATGAATGAATGAATGAATAAAGGAAGGAAAGAAGGAGGGAGCTTTTATTGCCCCCGAGGGGAATTTGTTTGCCTCCAAGGGCGTAAAAACACACGAGGGACCGAGGCATCAGCAGCCATAAAGACAACACATTAGAAACATTAAAGCACCTGTGAGGAACGTTTTATTAGCGTGGCTTTTGGCGCCCCCTGTGGACAAACTGATATCGTTCACTCTAAACAATTAAGACGTGTTTCTGTATCTAGAACTCAGATAGATCACTAACCATAAATATGTGCCCTGAAAAGTCACATACAAAGCTCCAAATCTGACAGCATCTCTTGCAGGAGAAGTTACAAATCACAATATATAGATAGTTTTTGCAAATAGCCTTGTTTGCTTTCGTGGGTCACAAACAGGCTGTTTTACGACCAGCTAAAAATCTCTTCTCATCAATGATGAGAAAGTACATTATTAGAGCGTCATGTGGTAACTTCTGAGGAATTCCTAATGCAAGCTCAATAAAAGTTAAGCATGCAAAGTTCAGGCAGAGTTCTCAGTGATGCATTTGAAAAAGGATGTGATACCCCTCTTCTGTATCTAAAGGCGTGTGTTCAGACCAGAAAGGCTGCAGAGGGTCTGTTGTGACTTTATGAGCCAAATTCAGAGTCCACTGGTCTGTGAGGTGAGAGATACGACACATTTGTTCTTCCTTCCTAGTTTTACAACATTATCAAGTTTAAGGCTCATTTATGCTCAACGTTACAGATGGATCCGGATACGGACAGAGCTCTCCGTCTGTGCTTTGCGTTCTTTTCGTCCGTATTTCTGATCGTGTCCTTGAGGTTTATGGATACAGGCCAGACGGAGCAGTACCACTGTAAACCGTGGGGGCAGTGTTGCAGCTGTGACTACCCGATACGTATCTCTAGAGAGAAACGAAGAAGACAATAGCGGGGCTCATCGGTACTACTCGGGAAACGAATCCTCTGTCCTCCAACTGTGAGGCATTTAGTGGCCTGACCGACCACTGCCTCCTCCAACCCTGCCTCCGTTTCTGTCTCCTATGCAAAATATACATCATCACATGCCCCTCCACAGTCGCCATGTTTCTTTTTGTTAGTTCTCAGGAACTTTTGACTCTGGCCTGCCCCCTGTTGGATGTAATGATTAACAGCCATGCCAACGTAAAGGACCCATAGAAGTATGTGGGCAGCGACTGACCCATCGTTTGAAACCGACGCATACATTTTCATACATATGGTGAGCAAAAATGAGCCTTTACTCTAGTTTTGCAGAGGCGACACTTCCCTTTAAACACTGAATACAGAAGCTCAGTACACTAATAACAAAACTTCATCATAGGACTGTCAACAAAAACATTTTCAAGTGTCCTAAAAAAGTAAAGATGCTGTTTTGGCAGTTTTTCCATGATATCAGGAGATAGAGAGGAATTTCTTTAGTTTTCTTTGTGTTTGAGATTAAAAAGATGATAGAAAATAACAGGCCGTGTATCAGGTCATGCGTTTGATATGGAACGAAATGAGAAGAAATACAGATATGATAAATTTGATATCAAAGACTATATTTGCCAATGGGATGATGAAAAGTAGAAGAATAAAGAGCCTCAAAATCACAGATAAGTGGATGATTTTATGGACCTAATCCTATTAAAGAAGACCATGACACAGTAATCTGTTTGAAGCATTTATTGAGTGTCTCTTTTGCTCGTCTCACACTGCAGCACAGAGGCTGAAGACAGACATGATCTCATCCTGCTGTCGCTGTTTCGCTTGATTCCAATGAAAAACAGCCCTCTCTGCATGCTTTTAGGACCTAAAAAAAGACTCTGCGAAGATGGGGAGTTTTCCAACGCACTGATTTCTGGGACACAGTTTAGAGCCAGGACTTACAGAAACAGAAAGGAAGACATACCGCATTGCTGAGTAAATTTACAGCAGGTCAAGACTTCCTATTGACATTTCCCGAACAAAGGACACGCCTGAGTGAACTCTTACAAGGTGCACACAAGGTTCAAATTACAGTTTAAAAAAAGCAATATCCTTGTCGGGTTGTCGGACACGCTGTGGAGATTCTGACAGAATCAATGGCGACCTAGAGGAGCTGATCCATGAAAATACCTGAGGAAGCATCGACTGAGGCTTTAAAAAGACACATTATGAGTCTATGGTGGGAGCAGTGATTCAGAAGTGATGTCTAGATGTTATAAAATAAAGACAAAACTTTTAAACTGAACTCAAGTATGAAGAGGAAGAAACAGCTGATGGGAAAAGTGTGTTTTGGAGCCAACCTGCTGTGGTAGACGACGGTTATTTCTCGGATGAGGAGGTAGTATTGATTATGCTTCCTAATCCAGCTAATTGACTTACAAATATCAAGGCAGAATACAGAACAAGGACACGCTCAGGACAGCCATCTCTGTACTCACAGTCTGTCTTTGTCAATCCACATCATTGCTTCAAATGCAGATAAGCAGCAGACGATGATGACGTCGTGGAGGAAGACATCAATCAAAAGACTCGTCTGTGGCACTGATCATTTGCCCAATTTTAGAGCGAGCGCTTTGTCAAAAATGAAATGTGCCAAAGACATAAATGCAAATAAGAGCTGAAGGTTTGGCCTTTTGATTTCAGCGAAGGAGTCAGTGCAAATGTAGCAAGGGGCGACTTCTCTGACTGCAAAAAGAAATCAGATTTTGGACAGACAAGCTTAAAAATGAGCCTTTTCCTCTGCTGATCAATAAATGTCTCTTAATTTAGGTTTTTGTCAGTATAACTTCAGCCCTTTTTAAGATGAAACTAAACATAAAGAGTCATCTATTTCTCAACATGTCAAATCTTGTAGTATAACCTCGACATTAGGTTGTACCTCTGGTGGGTAGAGGTATGGTCTTTAATCCGATGTGTAAAACTTCAGTGAATTTGCAAACTACTACATATTCATATAATTAAGTCGTACTCTGTGCAGATCTCCCCTGGTGGAAAACAACAGCAGGAGTACAAATGAAACAGAATATATTTTTAATTGATGTCATCTATAGTGGAGAACATATCGTCCACACGAAACAGCTGGTGAACCCTCTACTCCTCACCCTCTTTCAAGTTTCTCCATCTTTCAAAACAATGCGGCATGACAACTAGTATTTATGGAGAGCTTTACACCCACTCAGAGTGAAGTGTAAGATTTATTCAAGCTGGTGCAATGCCTGAAAAGTTAGTCCTAAAGCTGGTGCAACCTAGTCCAGAACTCTGTGTCATCTTTTACCTTAGCAGAGTGCAAAGGTCGGGCTGTGCAGAGTCCAGATGTGGTATCAGGGTTGTTTCTAACAATACAAGGCGATGAGTTTGCTCAGTTCGTGTTAAATGCTTTTAAACAGTTTAAGTAGACAGCGTCAGTGTCTGAATTGTACTTACTTTTGGTCAACGTTGGACATGCACATTGATGCATTTGTTCTTTTTCTTCTTGTGTTGTTGCTCTTATCTGTTTGTTTTCTCAAGTCGTTTTAGTCCATGCAAGTGTGGCATCCTCTGAGTGCATGACATGATGATCTAAACAAAACTCAAGCTCAAACTGTAAATCATTGTTCAGTTTAGAGCACATGAGGTGACACGACTGCTGTCATTATCTGTCAATGCGTGCTTTTAAACAGCTATTATATAATCCATAATGTAAT